GAGATGGTGCTGAGCGAGTCTCTCTATATTTCTTCCCCCCTCTCCATAATTCTCTCTCTTTTTTTCTAAAAACCCCTTTTTTTTCTTTTGGTTTTTTTTTCCTTTTTTTTTTTTTTCTTTCTTCCTCCCCCGAAGGCTCTCTCTCTCTCTCTCTCTCTCTCTCTCTCTCTCTCTCTCTCCTACCCTCCCCCCTTTTTCTTTGCCCCCCCCCCCCCCCCGCACTCTACCCCATCCTCTGTCTGGTCACACCTGCCTAACGTCAGCCAAAGTTAAAGGACCTGACGAATGTGTCAGGGTACAAACTGTTTTTTGTACACCATGCAACCTCCTTGCAGTTTTTTTTTTTGGTAGACATTCACATTTAACTTCTGATTTTGATCTAACAAAACTCATATTGGTTACTTTTGATTACAATGAGCATAGTAACAATGTATTCCAATAATTCTTTGGCATTGTTTTAGCTATACACGTCTCGCAACTTTTCTTGCAACTTTTGATAATTTTTCTTGCAACTTTTTGCAACTTTTGCTATTTTCAAATACAACTTTCTCTGAGGCCAAGGAGATTAAAAGTAATGGAGGATGCTCTGTAGGCGGTACCGCACGCCTGATAGGAGCCCTCTCTCGCAGCGGAACTGTGGTCTACCTGCGCTGCGCTCACGCAATGAAATCTAGATAAGAAAGAAGGTTTTATTCCGAGATTAGGCAAGTCAATTTAAAAAATGCCTTCCACCTGCGTTGTGTTTAAGTATAAGAACCAATATTATGATGCTGCAGTGGACAGAAGTTTTCACAGCTGTTGTTTTCCTTTAAAAAAAATCTGAATGAAAGTGTTTTTATGCCCCCAGCGACACAATTTAGATCATTAACTTTAATAAGGGGCTGGCTGCGGCGCTACCTGCCAAGGCCAACCCGGGTAGAAAGGGATACACTGTAACAACACCCCAGAAGAAAGACCGAGATACTTGATTTTTAAAAAAAAATCTTATTCTAGTGTGTGTGTGTGTGTGTGTGTGTGTGTGTTTGTTTGTGTGTGAGTGTGTGTATGTGTGTGTGTGTGTGTGTGTGTGTGTGTGTGTGTGTGTGTGTGTGTGTGTGTGTGTGTTTGTGTGCGTGTGTGTGTTTGTATACATATTAAACATTTTAATCAAAGTATAATATATTGCTTTCCAATGTGGGTGTAAATTAGATGCTATGCGCAGCGTACCTTTATTTTGACGGGACAAAATCTAGAGTCTAGGTTTCTACATGTATCTTGTTTTCATATATTTACTAATCATACAACACACATTAACGTGTTGAGTTCAATCAGTCAGTCAGACTTGTTTTATATTTTTAAGCCCATTTATCTCCTAATTACTATAAGACTGCTGTTGTCTAAATGTAGATATCGAGAGGCTCCATTAAAATATGAAATCAATACCCAACAACAATAGTGATGAATATCTTCTTTGTTAAAGAAACACCAAACCATATCAGATGAGGGGAGGATGTAGGGTGTGGATGAGAGTTTGAGTCTTGTTTGATAGAACTATACTCGGTTTGGATCTATATCTTTTGTTGTAGTCTTCACCTAAGATCCTACACTTTATAATTCCGGTCCACTTAAGATTTTGCTGTTCAAAAATAAACCAAACAAAGCAACAATAAATTTTACTGCACTAGTTGTGATAAATTATCCCCTTCTGAAGTGTGAAGGGACTAAAAACGCTGCTTTCCCTATCGTACTTTACTGAACAAAAAAAATTCAAGGGTCATCCATGCTCATGCATGGGATCACACCTCCGCTCTAAATCTCGATGCGAGGTACACGTTTGCTCCAGACGCAAGGATTTTACGATAAAGGAATCACGCCCAGGTGTGAACTCTTCATCGACGCCTTTGATTTTGCCGAACATCGAACTCGCAATAAGAGCTCCTGTCTAGAATCATGCCGTCATATCTTAAATTCAGTTTTAAAAAAATACATTTTTCATCATTTCTTATTATAGTTAAATCTTTTAGCTTCATGAAAGATTATCTTTATAATGTATGTTTGATAATTTTATGATACTTGCATAAGTTTTTTAAATTTTTTTATTTTGCCGATCTTCTTGATTTTTAAACTATATACAACGTAAAACTCTTAAATAATTGAACAGTCCCTAGGGTTTCTCAGTTGCCTAGAACAGTTCGTATCACACACAGAATTTAATTTTTTTTTCTCCCTGTCATTCTTTCCGTCATCCCGTCTGTTGATCACAATCTCTCTCTCTCTCTCTCTCTCTCTCTCTCTCTCTCTCTCTCTCTCTCTCTTTTATTCAATTTCCCCCATTCTCCTTCGTCCCTTCCCAAGGCCCGCCCCTCTTCTTTAATCCCAGCCCCATCCCCTCTTCCTTGCGTGCATTCCCCCACCCCGCCCACCCCACAACGTGGCCCAGCCCGATAAGATTCTATAAAAAGAAACGCCACAGTTCGTGATTTAGCCCACACTCGGCGGCCATATTTGATCCCCACCGCGGCGTACTGCTCGTGGCGCCGCGAAGAGAGAGAGGAGGCTCCATTAGTTCTAAACTCCTTGTCTGAGGCCCATCTCTTTATTAAGATAAATAGCTGGTGGGATCAAGGATCGCTTATCCGATCGGCAAGCAGTGGTCAAAACTTCACACCTCTCAATTGCTATCCTGTCTGATATTGACATGCGTCAGTCTTACTTATCCAATTACCACCAGTGCTTGCCTTTCATAGGACCACTGTTTGACCTATTAAAAACAGAAACGTTTGAACATCTCCTTTGCTTCCACCCTTAGCCCCACCCACCAATGCCACCCCTTACTGCCATCATTGTAACAACGATTCGAGGAACTCTTTTCTCGGCTGGCCGTACGATCAGGGCGTCAGGCATTGGTCAATCTAATTTCACACCTCTGGCTTCTGGATCCAGGAAAGTTTCCGAAGGGGCTCGCTACTCGAGCACTCTCACGGGCAGTCGTGAGATTTCACATCCACACTACACTGACCATCTGCATCGCTCAGGGCTCACATGATGGGGTAACATCTACCCCCAAATTGTACCCCTACTCCTCTTTCTCGACCAGCCGCGTGACCAAAGCGTTAGTTTAGAGCCAGCGGAACCAAACTTGCGAGTTTTGTTTCAAATCAGGGCTGAGCGGGCAAAGCATTTTCCGTCTAAGGCAGGTGAAACCCTCGGAAGGGAGCGGATTTTTCTTTCCGTTTCCGCGTTGGACATTGGACAGGTTTCCGTTTTATACAGGTAATTAAAGAGGAATCAAGGAGTTTAGAATTAATCTCCTTGAGAGGAATATATCAAGGGGGGAGCGGGGAGATTCCGTTAAGACAGGTTTCCGTTTTATACAGGTTTCCGTTAAAGCAGGTTCGACTATGGACAGGGGCTATATCCTCGCTCAGTAGCCCAACAAGATACCAACTGAGCTAACCGAAGGAATACAAAAAGCAGGCTAGGACGTAAATTTAATTTTTATAATAGCCTTCAGAAAGACAGTGACTAAGTTTTCAGAGAAAGAAAAGGTCCGCATAAAAAAAATATAATGAAATTATAACTTTATGATGTCAATATATAGGTGATTATAGGGTTATCAAGTTTCGGGATGATTGGATAATTATTTGAGTGTCAAGTCAACATCTATATTGTTGCTCGTAAAAATGTAAGAATTTCAAGAAGCCAAAATATTAAATTAATCAATCAAATTTGAGTGAGGAATACATGTAGAGTGGAGACTTCCGAACGGGTCAAATTTCGTTAAAATAATTAAACTCTTTTATGCGACATCACTGCGTAATATACACCGACTGGGGACACAGAGTAGAGTACTTCCGGGTTAATCAGATCAATCGTAAATAAGACCAAAGACCAATAATGGAGTCGATGCCTCGACTGCCGATGCTTTCTTTTGAATTGAAACACAGCCCAGATTATGTAGAGTTTGGCCCCAAGCTTAAGCAGGTACTGTAAGAAAGAATTTTGCATTTTGTCCTCTTATTTCAAGAATGGTTCGTTATCTGCCAAACAAATACAAACAGTGTCTGAGTCTGCTGGGTTCTGACTCATAGTCATGACCACCGACCGTTCATAGTCATAGTTTGATTATTATGATTATGATGATATATTTTTACAATTTGCTCTTTCCTTTTTTATGTTGTAGTATCTATCTAGATCTAGATCTAGATCTAGAAATTTATATCTAGATTGCAGTAAAAACTTTGTGATGAGAATTCATTGGGTACATGACAAAGACTATATTTGGCATTGGTAGACCACCAGCATCCAGGCAATCGATCCCTCCTACCAAAGTTTAACCCTAGAAGCGCTCAGCGTTTCACCGGAAGTAACCCGCCAAAAATGCCCCGCCGCCACGGCCGATCAGTTGTAAACATGGGGGTTTGGCAGGGGGGAAACAGCTGATGAGATACCCGAAATGTATGGCCACCTCTATTCTCACCCGGAGTGAGAATAGTGCAGGCGAGTCTTGTGGCTATTCTCACCCGGTGCGTGTTCACCAAATTTTGCGTTCACCCTAAACTACAGAATTCTACACTGTGATAACAGAAAAATTGTAGAATTCTGTGCCGTGAACAAACATTCCATTACAATTGTAGCCTACTAAAAGCGTACAATTTTGTCTGTGGGCAGTGGAGAGAGAGAGAAAGAGAGAGAGGAGTAGCGCGAGAATTTCCGGGCAAAACAAAATGGCGACCCGCGTAGTTCGGCTTGATTCGAAAAGTTAAATAGCCGTAGCATCTTTGTAGACAACCAAATTTATTTACTTTTGTGTTTTAACATCATTTTTTAACGTTGTTTTGGTCAATTTGATCGTCAACACCGATAGACAGTATTCAGAAAGAGACAGAGAGAGAGAGAAGAGGGGAGGAGTTGATCTTGCGAGAACTTCCGGGCGGGTGAGAATAGCCACTTTCGAAATGTATACCTGCTACTGAAAAATGACCATTTACGGCTCAACGGATGATAAAAAGCATATAAAAGCATATATTTGCTTTAAGCTGATAGAATGAGCCATTCAAAAATGATCAGCGATCAGATAAATACAAACAAAGCCGAGAATGCGATAGACTCAACAATTAGTACATCAGCACGGCGAAACAAGTGATAACACATAGCGTGTTGTCGCTCAGCGGGACTGCGTCACTTTATCGATCGATATCTCGGCCAAGAGACGCTCTACGAGGTCAAGATAACTTGCAAAGTCATTGGTCACTATTTATAACTTTGGCCTTTTATTGACTAGATCTACGTCATTTTCCATATAAGGAACACTGGAATTTTCCATTGAAAAGGGTCAGCGTCTATGCCCTTTATATAGGGCCTGCGTGCTTCCCGGTCGAAGTAGGTCAGCCTTATATATAGGGCGTGCGTGCTTCCCGGGTAGGCCGGCTCACGCCCTTTATATAGTAGACTTGCATGTTTGCCGACAATCGTCTGAAATCCGACAATCGCGACTCGACCCGCGAGCCGGCCGATGCTATTGCTAGGCCCACCTGTATCAGTCACACCAGTCAATGTGCGTAGTGCGAGGCCTGGCCGTCTGCCAGCGCCCTCTTTTTCTCCCGTCGGCTTTGTCGGCACTTTCGTTTTCATGCCGACGTCGGCGTTTCCGACATAATTGTCGGAACCTGAGTAGAAATGCGAATACGAAAAAGGACAACGGCCTAAATTATCTACTTTCAGTTTCGTGCTCGAGCGGCCATTTTGAATTTCGTTTGTTGACTAATTCAATTGTTCAGATCGTGTGGATTCATTCAAGTCCGACTCACTTGTTCTAATAACATGTCTAATAGAATCTAGATCTAGATTTATAGATCTTTACAGACCTCAATGGAGGATTCATATTCCAATTCTATTGTGTAAAACCCTAACATAGGTTGTGCTGTAATATTAATGTTGGTAAAAAGCATTTCATCAGGTGCGTGAAGGAATTATTTATTTATTTAGAATCTAGACTCAGCTGAGTCCCTCTGTTCGGAATCGGATGGGGATTTCTAGTTCAAGGCCTATTCCTATTCACTTGTTCTACAAGATCTAGATTTAGTCTAGATCTAGATTTAATTAAATTACTAGATCTATTTTATGTGGAGGATTCATATAATTCTATTGTGTTATTGTATCAAACCATTTATAATAGCAATAAAAATGTTAGAGATGTAGATCTAGATAGGCCATATTATTATGCTCCTTGTTAGTTTTGGAGTGTGGTTTTTAATTTTTTTTTATTTTTTCATTTTGGACTTGTGCTGGCCTTTTTACACGAGGCCCGTGCGCAGGTTCTTTTTTTAGGGCAGGCCTAGGGGTAGGGTTAGGGTTAGGACTCTTCTTTAATTGTGTTTGTTGGGGTGGTTGGGGTAGGAAGTCCTTCCTTTTGAAACCCACAAAAGATCTAGATCTAGAGCCCCTGCACGGCATACCGTCACCTTAGTGTTTTGTGATAACGATTTCCGGAAGTGAACTTTTGTATTACCATAACTTCGGCTCTTTCCAAAACATCGACCCAAAATTTCGTTTCATTGAGAGGCCAGCCTTTCCTGTAGAGGTGTGGAGTGAAGTCTTTAGTCAGATAGTGTATAAAGAAGACCCCTAACCGAGACTTGACGCCTGCGAATGACATGTACCCCATGCCGTCACGTGTCGGGGTTTCTGTCATGGCATACCCCATACTGTCACCCACTACACCCCATACCAGCACACCCAAATTGAAGCACAACTAGGCGTTTGAAAAGAGGAAAGAAGCAAAGACGAACTCTTTTTGTACAGTGGGCCTAAGACAGAACTAATGTTTATTGACATACTTATACGAACAACCACCAGAACAGACTCACATACATCTTACTCACACATAGGTACATGAATGTTTCATTTTACTCTTCCTCACATATCACAACAAACTCACTTTTGAACATCTTTTACTCACACACAAGCACATGAATGCTTCATTTTACTCTTCCACACAACAAACTGCGGAGTGGTCATTGTCGTAAACCAATCCCACCTCCTTTTCATCCTCTTCCCCCTCCTCACTCTCTCCTTTTCTTCTCTTTTGCTTCATCATCTTTGCCTGTACTTTCCTCTTCCTTCCCTTACACCCACTCCATTTCCCTGTTGTTTCTTCTTCTTCTTCCCTAAGTGCTCTCTGCTTCTCCAACTTCGTTAACTTTTCTCCTCTTTTCTCTTCTTCCTTCTCCACCCTTTTCTCTCCAGGGCTTGAAATAGACCGCGGCACCGCAGCAATTTGCCTTGATGCCTTTGCAATTTGCCGCAATGCCCTTAAAATCACAGGGTCAACCGTGGCAATTTTTGCCATGCCCTTGTTTTTAATGTTTAAAAATGTGACGCCATGAAAATAAATCAATATAATTTGTCCTGTACTGTCACTTGTGGAAAAAAAAAGAAAAGAAAGTTATACAATGTACAAGCGTCTTGTCGGGTTCGCCATCGTGACCGGTCATTGAACCTACATCACAAGATATGGCATCGTGTGAGCACCTGTTGTTGGGGTCAAAACATGAGGGTGGATTAATATAGTGAGTTTTCACAATTGTCGTTTTTCTAAAAACGTAATTTTTTTGCAGTTTTTCCCCTACTCTTTCCTTAGTACTTTTGTCCTTTTGACCTGAAACTTTCAGGAAACATAGATTGCAAGGCTGCCATCAATGTAACATAGAGATGATTGCGAACAAAATGCTTCTTTTTCATTAGCAAGTGATTACGCAACTTACATTTAGAAAAAGTTTTTTATACTTTTGAAAAATTCTCATTTTTTTTCTCTCTTTTGCACTTATTGAAAAAACCCCGCTGTTACTCTGATAGGCTCTAGTTCAGATGGCAGTTGTTTCCATAGCAACTGCCGTAGGTATTCCAAAATAAAATTGCGTATCAAGAGATTTTACTGTGCCGAACTCATATGTGCACTTAGATTTGATCTCGGGCAACAAACATAGAAAATTATCCTCAAGGGTAGCTCCTCCCGTTAATTTGTGTTTTCTTTAATAAACAATCTCAGCATTTCTCGTTCCATAATTTTACTTTCTCCTCAAAATTGTATACACAAACGCTCAAGCATGTGCACACTTACACACTCACACACGCATACACACTTGCCAAGCAGTTGGCGATAAAACCAAGTGACGTAGCCCATGGCACGCTAAGCGGTAAAGCTGGCCCACCATGGTGAGATCTAGTCAATTGGCGAGGGAAGTCCCGGAAGATGACAAAAATAGATGGCGGAAATACGTCATCTGTATTTGGGCCTATCACAGAGGTGTGCTAGGTGCTTGCTGTAGCTTCATGTCATTTTAACTGTTGCTAATTATGTCACTTTATGACAATGACAATGAGTTGAATAGGAGACTTGCTATTTGCTACCCCAGACTCCGATTTAATGAACAATATAATCACGTGACGCACACGTCTTGCATGCTCCTTTTTTTGTGGTTTATTTTTGTCAAGGCATGCCATTCTGTCCGAACAAAATGTGAAGATGCGCTTGTGAATTCTCACTGCACTGTTTAATTTATAATTTTTTCCTTACAAACTCTTTGCAGTACTTCTTTTGTTTTGTTTTTTAGAGCGTTTTTTGTTCCACATACTTCCAAAAATAGGGAAAACCTAATCGAAAGACACAATTTTAGAAATAATGAGTGTGCAGATGTATCGCAGAGTTTAATTGAGAGTTAAGGTTGGTGAAGATTACCTGAAGAAAACTTTTGGCTCTTCCTTTGTTTATTTTACTCCCTGTTTTAAACCAATCAATATTAATAGCTTAAACTGAAAAATCACTTGTGATTCTGAATTTCAGAATAGTAATACTTCTGAAGTCATTACTTACTTTAAATCAGTCTTCACAATAACACGCACGCACGCACGCACGCACGCACGCACACACGCACGCACACACACACACACACACACACACACACACACACACACATATATATATACGATGACCTCATTGTCAAACCATGAAAAGCTTCTTATATTTCTTGTGGCAACAATTACTTCAAGTTCGTGAAGCTTGAAGCTGTTTACTACTCAGGTGAAGGCACTGTAGCAGCCTTAGTTTAAAAAAAAAGCTGAGTGATTTCTATCCTGTATCTTTCAGATACAATTATCAGAACAGTCCTGTCTTTGTTTCTTATGTTGTTCTATTTTTTTTTTTTTCACAGTACATCAAAACACATTATGGAGAGGATCCAGCTTTGTACAATAAAGCTTGTACTGATCTTGAACAGCTTCGTCAGGTGAGAAGAAAAGAGGTTATAATCCATGTAAGATTACGGTTGTATTTTTATGCTCACTGTCTGATGTCTTATACTTTAGAGTCCTGAGACAAGCTGGGTAATTTTGACTGTATTCATTGTGTCTTGATTACGGATAACCTTGTCTGTATTTTTATCATGCCAGGCTGCCATCCAGGTGAGCCGTGATTATATGGGATGCACCACACTGAAGAAGTACTATGCTCAGCTCCAGTATCTGCAGGGCAGGTTCCCAATGACCAATGAGGGAGAGGCCGCCATCGTTTTCACATGGTAATAAAATCGAGATGGGGAGTTTGTGTTTGCGTGTGTGCATTTAAATGACCTTACACATATCTGTTGTGGACACAAGCTGGAAGGGGGGGGGGGGGGGGGGGGGGTTGGAAGTGTCCAAACAAGCCCACGATACTTTCTGATGGGTATGAGGTATATGTTACTGAAGATATTTTTATTGATAGAATCTATTATAGAAGATGTAGATATGTTAGTACAATTTGGTTTTAGCTCCACTTCTTTTGTATTGTTTTGCTACCCCCCCCCACACACACACACACACAAACTGTTATTCTGTGATGTTGATGTGCTTCTTTTTATATATAGCTTTTGTAAACAAATTGGTCGATGACTTTCAGGGAAGACATTCAGACTGGCAGAGAACATGTGATCATGGATATCAAGTTTGAGCAGGCATGCATCTTATATAACATTGGGAGTCTCCATTCTTTGCTTGGGGTTCTGGACACACGGCACAATGCAGAGGTATGGGAGCTTTGTCAATTGATAATTGCAAATGTACAGAATACCCCTGTTGTGGTTTATATTATTAGAATTGCATCAAACAACTTAAACATGACATAGAACATTTTTTAAAAGTGCTTTCTTCTTTTATAAAAGCTTTGATTTATCATTTATGATGTAATTTTTAAATTTATGTTTGCTTTAACTCAATCCCTGCGAAGCGAAGACTCATTCGTCGCCAGCCGAACGCGGTTTCCGCGGAGGTACGACTCAGTCGTCGTTTCTCAAATGGTTTTATTAAACAGTTCGTGCTGCTATTTTCGGCAATATTTGCCTCTTCCAAATGTATTTGTATCAAGACCGGAAACTTCACTGCTAGTTTCGTCATTAGACAGCTTTTTAAAGAGAATTATGCGTGGTTTCTTTAGTCTGAAGTGTTGATTGAAATAAAGCATACCCGTTTGTTTATTATGGCAACAATGGCTTGGGGCAATGGTTCATGCAAAACAAAAGCCCCGTAAAGCTTTTTGCTGGTTGACTTGATTAATAAAGCTTTTAAAAAATTATTATTACATTGTTATCCACACTGACTTAGACTTCAATCGTAATTTTCAACTGGTGGGAATAGCTGTGACGATACTGACAACAAGGATGAAATTGACCAGATTTTGAGTGGGCATCGTAGTCTATCAGGGGTTGTCAGTGAGTCATCCATTAGTTATAACCTGCCCCGAAGGTCTAGATCTAGTACTAGCAATGTCAGCTAAGGTGGTACAACTGCTAGTACTAGATTTAGTAAAAGAATAGAATTAGGAGTTAATTGCAGGTCTAGGTCTACTTAACGGGAGGAGCTACCCTTGAGGACCATTTTCTATGTTTATTGCCCAAGATCAAATCTAAGTACACATATAAGTTAGGCATAGTAAAATCTCTTGATATGCAATTTTATTTTGACGTAGCTACCGCGGTTGCTATGGAAACGGCCACCATCTTGAAAATAAACAATGAATTTCAAATCCCTAAGGCTTTCTTATTTACTCCCCAAATTTGACCAAATTTGATGAGAGTATAACTGAACCAGACCCTATAAGAGTAACTGCAATTTTTTTCAATAAGTGCAAAAGAGAAAAAAATATGAGAATTTTTCCAAAGTATAAAAAACTTTTTCGAAATGTAGGTTGCGTAATCGCTTGCCAATGGAAAAGTGTGATTGTTTTTGCAAATGTCTCTCTGTTACATTGATGGCCGCCTTTCCATCTATGTTTCCTGAAAGTTTCATGTCAAAGGGACATAAACTAAGGAAGGAGTAGGGAAAAAGCTGCAAAAAAATTACATTTTGCGAAAGACAACAATTGTTGTGAAAGTTTACTATATTAACACATCTCATGTTTTCAAAGGCAATTTATGAGGAGAATAAAGACTTCCTTAATTGTATCCATGCTATTTTTAGACCAAAAAATTTGGTTGATCTTAAAAAATTAGCCAACATAAAATTTGCATAGCCTGACCCAAAATCTGCAAAATCAAGGTCGCTCCTGCCCTTAACTGTCAGTGGGGATTTGGGTTGTGGCTGACTTATCATTTCGTGTATTATTTCAATTACTACAAATTATTGAAGAAGATCTGTACTCGAATACCAATTGTGGTATTATTACAAAGGTGATTTACATATAAACATTTCTGTTGCGTATCAGTCTGTATTTCATGGATAATGGTGACAGCAAGTTGGATAAAAATTCATCAAACTAGCCAATTTCTTTATTTTTCAGTTATTATCCCCCCTATATGGCGTAATTACTCTTACATAATAAGGCAAAAAACCATGCAACCCATCTATTGTGATAGCATATTCAATTACCTTTCCAGTAGTATCAAATATATGTACTTTCAGCGGAAAAAATATGGCAACAGAATCAATTTGTCGTAATAGGCCTCCTGAGAAAATTAATTCCTGCGTTTTTGGGAGGTCAGTGGAAAAAAATTGCGGGCGCAAAGAGTTACAAGTGAATTAAAATTTGTGTGTCTTTGCTAAGATTGTGAATGTAGATATAGCAACAAGTGCTGAAAATTTGCCAGTAAAGAGTATTTTGCTTTGTATGTAGAGAAAATAAATACTAGTCCATATGTAGAGCTAATCATTCCTGTGCCTGACTTTTGCACTCTCTTTTGGTATTTGAAATTTTCAAAGATTTTAACAGAAATTAATTTAATTTTCATGCGTAGTGTGTGGTCATTTGGTGGAATAAGTTTTTTTATTTATGTTTATTGTGCAACCCAGTTAGAGAGAACATTTTCCAAGGCATTGCAAATAAATATTTTTGTTCCTCTTTGTCATATTTTGTTCTGTCCTACCCTCTCTCCCCCTAACCCTCAATTCATGTATAAATGTACTTGACTTTTTCATTTTTGAGCTATTCTAGCCTTTTCTAACTCAGAAGGACTTTGTGTATGTGTTTCCAAATTCCAATCCAAACACAGGGTATGAAAGTGTCCTGTACACACTTCCAGTGTGCGGCCTGGGCCTTTGAACACTTGAGGAATGAGTTTGCCACCTCCTCCATGAGCACAGACATGAGCTACGAGCTGCTGTCCTTCCACATTATACTGATGCTGGTGAGATGAGAAGATTTGATGTATAATTGTTCATTTTTTCCTTTGCCTTTTTCCCCCCCCGGGGGGGGGCCGGAAAAATTTTTGGAATTTTTACGTGGGTCGGGAGAGAGAGCCTTTTTTCCCCCCTCGCTTTGGGATTTTTGGAAACCCCCCCCCCCCCCCCCCCCCCCCCCGGCCCATTTTCCCTTGTTTTGTTCAGTTTGTTATAAGAAGAAAGTAATGTGAGATGTAGAACTCCTTTTGCTTGAGGGTGTAACTTTTTGATTTTTTTATCTGTTATAAAGCAAACTGGTATATTCCTTTAAATGGAAGTGGATACTTTATTCAGAGCTTGTGTGTCATTCTCTTAGACTTTTATGTTAAGTTGCGATTGTTTGCCTTACATTTGGTGTGTTGATTTAAACTGTGTATGATTTTTCTCTGTATCAAAGGCCCAAGCTCAGGAATGTATTTTGGAAAAATCTATGATTGACGGGAGAAAGAGCAATATCACCGCCAAAGTAGCAGCCCAGGTGGTGGAGTTCTACAAGGATTCCAGCAAAGCTATTGACATGGCAGAGAAGAAACAACAGATCAACTCCAGGATGCACAAGGTAGGAACGTCTGATTGGGTCTCTGTCTACTTCTCGTACAAACTGTTGTGACAAACAGAAACAAGAGTTCTGTACATGGTTAGGGTAGGCATGTAAATACTGATGAGTCATTTGGCATTATGTATTAGCTTGTGAATATGAGGATTTTATTCGTTTTAGAGCAATAGCCAAAACGTGGGACTCTGTTGAGACTCAGTGGTGTAAACAAATTTTTCTTACCAATTTGACTCTCTTTTCTGTCAGTCACAAATTGACATTTAGTGCTCATATTCCTAGAGTATCAGAGCAAGGAGATGTAGGGATTTGGAGATATGGGTCTATTGGTTTGGCAACTACTGTATTTCTTGTATATAACAGTGATGACAAAAACAGATAAGCAGCAAGGCAAATTATATACTTTAAATTCCATTTGTTTAGTAAACAAAGACTTTGTACACTATGAACTCCATTCATAAGGTAATAAATAAATGACAAGCTTTGTAACAATGACGCAGTGCACAGAACATGTCATCATTGTTATGTACAAGAAAGGATACACATTGGACATTATCATTGACAACACATCACAATAGTGAAAGGCTGTACAAATACAGTTATCAAAGCCACAGCACCAGAAAAACACATGTGTAAAGCAATTTTTAAACTAATATGAGGCAAAAGCACAAAATCAATGGAGCTGACTTGTACATAACAGTGATGACAAACATGACTTGTACATAACAATGATGACACAATGTACAGGAAAAGACAAAGTCATGCCTCCAGAGAGAAATGCGCAGTTTAAGAATGTAAAAAAACCCAGGAGAGGTTTCTTTTGCTTTGAAAGAGATATCAGGTCATATCAAAGACAGTGGGCGATCACAATTATGTTGCTAATTATGACAAACAGTACTCGCACATAACAGTGATGACAAAACATACTGGGAAAAGGTAAAATCATACCTACAAAGAACAAATTTGCACTAAGAAATACACAGATCAATAAAGGCGTATTTTGCTTCTAAATGAATCTTGCCTGTATGAAATGTATGTTGAAAACTTATTGATATTAGCAATGATGACAAATATTACTTGTACATAACAATGATGACACAATGACACAATGTATTGGAAAGAGGTATATCATACCAACAAAGAACAAATGTGTATTTTTGAGTTAGACAGATAAACAAGGACATGTTTGTTTATTTGTTTGAGTAAAGAGAGCACACATGACTTAAAAAATGTTTGCTCTTAGGACAATGTAATTTCTAGTACGTCAGTCAGTCTTGTACGGCTGCATGACGACACCCCAAACGTCATCACTAATCACAAAAGCTAAATCTATAACCACAGAAATTATCCATCTCTCGAAGTTTGTTCACACATCACACTCTTGTTCCAGGAATCTAGTGTAAACACCGCAATTTCACTAAAATATTCAATAGGGTAGCCTGAAAACACGCAAAACAGTCCAGTATGTCACATTCAAGGCAAGGTTCTTGTGCGTCACCGGACGCTGAAGGCAATGACTACTTTCGTTTTTCTGTTTCCCCCGTTGCTTCCGTTGTTCTGGGGAAGCGGGTAAGGGGAAGTCACTCAAGAAAACAATTATATCCGGGCACTGTTGATGACCCGTTCAAAACAAAAGTGGGCGAAATTCAGACTTCCGGCACGTCGCAAGGTGACGACATTCGCGGCGAATGTTAAACAGCCGACCGAAATCGTAGATCTAGGAACCCGATGTTCCTTTTGCAAATCGCGGCTTTTGAAGTATTGAATAAAGGACGAAAAGCAAAAAGATTTAACCAGCTGTGGTGATTTTACTGAAAAATAATGGTGTTTTCTGAAACACCTAGTCCGTGACGACACGACTGACACACTAGTGATCCAAATTGTTCGTTTATTTGCAAACAAACCGATTTCTTGAGCAAGTTAACCTTTCTCGATGACAAATAGCATAGGATCAAAGCGCACGTAAAAAACCCCCCACCCAAAAATACTAAATTTTGGACATTGTTGGAAGTTTGCTCAAAACGACACTCCTGGAATCACAAAAAAACCGAACATTTTTGGCACAAAATTTACAAACTCAAGATTGTAAAGCTGACATGGGGTCTGAAACTGCTAATGCATGTTCTACATCCTATATTTGACTTGTGTATAAGTTTTGGAGGAATAAATACTAATGCATCACATTTTATGCACCCTAATGTGAGATGTGTGTGTTTTTCCCCACGTTTTGGCAATGGCTCTTTAATAACATGGTTTCTACATAACAGACAGGTTTTGTTTTTGATTCCGCCGTCAAAAGTCTTTTAATGTTTTGTTGTTCCTTCTTGTGCTTCCAAAACTTCGCTATTGGTCATTATTTTGAGAATGCCTTTGTAACACCCACTTACAGAGATGCCAACCAGTACGATTTTACGTATTTTAGTACGATTTTTTGCCGAAAATACGCGAATACGACTTTTCATGAAAAAATACGCATCCTGGAAAGCGAAAAATACAAAATAGTATCAGTATCACGGAACTGGAATATTTGAAAACTAAGTCCGATAAGGTCAGTAAGTTCATTTTTGCCGGTCGCGATTGTGATATTATATTCGTTTAGCTTTTCCTCCTCCAAGAGTACGTTTCACTTTCACACGAACAGGCGGCTATGGCGGCAGACGGAAGTGTATGTGACACCGCGGCTTGATCGGGAAAATCAAGATCTACGTTCGCTTTCGTTACCACCGAGAAGTTTGCCAGCTGTAGACTGATAACGCAACTTATTTGTGACATGCAGGTTGTGCAGTGTAAACGCTGTGTTGCCGTGCAAATAAAATTTCTCGAACTCGTGTCTGTGCTGTCACTTGTAGGAAAAAAAAGAAAAGAAAATACAAGCGTCGTCCGATTTTTAGATTGTTGGGCTCGCCATCGTGACCGGTCAATGAACCTGCGCGCATTCGCATCACAAATAAATGCGGCAACGTGTTAGCAAAGACCGTGTTTGGTGGGAGTAACGGCGTTGCCAAGTATAGGACTACGGGAGGGGATTATTGATTTTTTTTTTTTTATACACTCGAGGGGGGGAGGGAGGATGTGTGAAGGCAAGACCAGAGGACAAAAACTTGGAGGCAAATTTCAGAATTTTGATTAGAGCTCTCTGCAAAGCACGCGTTGGTGCAGGCTGTGTGCGGAATCGGGACCCTTCATACTTTGCAAGTCTGTGTAATTGAAATAAAATGTTCGCGTGTCATTAGATGGGTGATAGTAAATTATACCTACTATGCTTTCTGTTCAAGAAGGGCAGATTTTCAGTGTCACTGCATCCTGCCCTCCCACAGTTGTTACAACTCTTACAGTGCACGGGTCTACTTGAACCCTTCAAGTTATTGCTCTTCTCTGAGTTTGAGCTATAATTTTAGTCTGTCAGTTCATAATATATGAATCATGACACCCAGACTGGTTCTTGATAGTCGAAATTCTTGTTCTAGGCCCTTCCGAACGCTCAAAACGGGATTGATTTTTTATAATAATAATGAGAGGAAAATATTATAACAGACTGAAATACTTAAGTCAAACAAGACCCCAGTACGACACTGAACACTGACATGTTGTTGACTGGATACATGTTTATTGTACGCGTGTGTGCTCCCTTTTTCGAGCTGGTGAGCTAGTAAATTTTTTTCAGGAAATATTGCTGGACACCCTGAATATTTTACTGGTTAGTCGGTCGGTCGAAGAGAATACACATTTCCCCTGAAAATACACATTTTCATATTTCCCAATACTCATTTCGTTTTTCTGTGGTTGGCATCTCTGCACTTATTTTGTAAACTTAACGTTGTCTTTAGTTTTAATACTCAAATTTGTACTCGCGTAATACTCACATTTTATTTGGATCCTCTTTTAATATGACCTAGCTTATGGTACTCATACCTGCTGAGTGTGGCTCGGGGGTCCAGAGCTGAGCAATGAGCTTTTTGGCGTGGAAAGTGAATAGGAAATGGCAGAAGCCTTTGGCATAATGACATGGCTCCAGATTTGGTATTGTTTTCATTGTTTCAGCAGAATAATAATCAAAAGATCACATGCTTGCGAACTGTCCTGAATTTCCCAGGGCTGTCCCAAATTTGACTGTTGGGAATTTGATAGGACGTTGCATACACTTCACCAAAACTAGCCCCACTTTATATAATTTTGTTCATTGGTACATAATCTGGTGTTATAACATTCGGTGTCCCAGATTGAGTTTTGAAAAAGTTGGCAAGTCTGAGATTATTTTCATTGCTGTTATTTATTATTGTTACTTTTATTTCATTATTATTTTCATTTTATCATTATTATTTACTTTCCTGACAGGAATGGGGCAGAAGGCTAGAGATGAAGACTTCCTTCTACCAGTGCATCACTTACTACTTTTTGGGTCGTCAAGCGGAAGAGTCGGAGAAACCTGGTGAATGTCTGGCTTACTACACAGCAGCTAAAGATGAACTGGCTAAAGCGACACAGCTTGCTAAGGTAGATGCTTCAGCCTTTAAAATATCATCGGAAGTTATGTACACTGACTTTTGTAAGTTTTCATGTATAAAAGAGACCTTGACTGTCCAGTTGAAAGTGACATGTTCCATAGTTTTTGTAAAACGGTGACACCAAAATATTCCTGAGCAATTGCCACTTTTTTCCTTGCCCATTGAGAAATGCTTTCCTATATTTACATTGAAATATTTTCCTGCGTCACTGAAGTACATATTATATTTTTTCTTTGACTATAGTCTCTTGAAAAAGAAAAGAGTTAAAAGGCGAAGAAAATAAGAAGAAGCTAACATCAAGCCAGAGATGTTATGTGGATTTTCAAGGAATATGTTTTTTTACTCTTTTTAAAGTGATAAGTTCCATTGTTTGTAGTGTAGTCTCATTTATGAGGATTACACCATTGTTTTTTCAACAGAATGATGTTCTTGAGGTTCATGACTGCTTAAGCTTTGCCAGAGATGTCGTTGTGGGAAAGTAAGTTTGTCATGGTTGTTTTTTTTAATTTTTATCATCAGTGTGTAGTTTTTTTATAGTCCACTGTGCATTAATAAAGCTCATCTTAGTACTATATTTTCAAAATGTGATTTGACTGCTTTCTCTCTCTTTGTTTTCTACTCAGAGATGCTCTATGAAAGTGGTAATTTTCAATTTGTCTTGTTTTTGTTAGTTTTGTATTGGTAAGATGTATTGTTGAATAAATTTTTTTTGTTTTGTTGTCCTTCACAGGTATGAAGCAGCAAAGAAAGACAATGATTTTGTGTATCATGACAAAGTGCCACCCATTGACAGTCTCCCAGAGATCAAAGGTAACTTTTCACGTGCATGCTTGTACATGTCATAGATGTGCTATACACATTTCTTTGAAACAGCACAGTTCAAAAGTCAGAAACAGATTATATTGAGTGCGTATGCTTCATGTTGCTGCTCTTGCTGAATGTGAAGGGGGAGGATGTTAGCTTTATGGTTAAGTTGGGTTTATTTTATTCATGCTTCCGGCAGAGAATCCTCAGCCAGAACTTGTCTCATTGGCCACAGCAGAAGTCACAAGTCATCTCAACCTTTTATTTCTTCTTTTTTAAGAAACATTTTCCTCTGTAGATACATTGATCTCTGTCAGACATTGATGGATAAACTATTATGATTTTTATTATCATTATTATTATTATTCATGCTTCCCAACTCGCCCTCAAGGGTTTTGCATAATGATTGTCTACTGGAATGTGAATCTGAGACAGTTTAACGTTCTTATGCTAAAGTGTTCTGTTTTTGTCTTTTCAGCTCCATGCATTTGTAACTGGAACTTGTTCTGCTTGCTGTCTTTGGTTCCAGAGAGTTGCATGCTTGTTCCTATGATTTACAGTAATTTGTTTACTTTTATAATTTAGGTCCAAGTTCACAAGTTTCAGATGCTGTAGAAGCATTACAGTGCACTTCTTTTCGAATTTATGAAGCTTATTTTGCCTGACTTTTTTTGTGTGTATTTTCAGGTGCCTCACTGGTCAAAGGGATCCCATTCAACCCAACAGACAAAGAGATCTCGGGACCTGATATCTTCCAGAAACTAGTACCTATGGAAGCTCATGAGGCTTCCTCAGTTTACAGGTAAGGCTTTGATGTCTTCCCACTGTTTGACTGAATCGTTTTGTCTCCCTTTTTTTCTAACTTGGACTGATCTATTTTGCCCCCCCCCCCCCCCTCAAATGCATATTGAACAGTGGATATAACAGAGGGAATAATGAAAGAAAAGACAACTGTAGTGACCCATGGCATACATAATATAGCCATGCCCATGAAAAATTAATTTTTCGCTTTCGCCCTTTTTTATTGTTACGTAGGAAAGAGTTTTCGATTCTAAGAATTATGCCTTTTGAATTTAAAGAATCGGATCGTAAATAAAAAAGTTATGGGGTTGTGAAGGTCGACAAAATATGGATGACCCATATATTGGGAAAATACTCCCAAAAGTGGACCCTGCAACAGCAGATTTTGTAAGAAAATCGATGATATCTCAGTTATTCATTGGAGTGTTAGAAAGAAATTTGGCTACCCAATGTGTTTTTGGGCGGAGAAATTATTTCTGCAAGTCAGATTTACTAACCATTTCTTAATTATTTTGTTATAATTAAAATTTTGGTTTACATATTTAGATTTTGCGAAAAGGGGTGTGGGATGAGAGCATTTTATTTATAGCATCATATCACAACATGGGATCTTTAAGAATATGTTGGTAGCGTCACTAAATAATGGCAAAGCTTTTTTTGATGACATTAGACCATGCCAACCATAAAATTAAATTAAATTAAATCTAGCATGCTGTACAATTAAAAATCTTCTTTCCCTATTGGGGTGCGAACACCTCAAAGCGTGATAAGCTCACCCCGGAATACCACCATTGCGATGTTACAGGGAAACAGAGAGAAAAACAACCGGATGAGCGTGGCCGCCATTGCCCTATTTCAAGGGACCAATGAACGGGCTCGAAATAGTCATGCAGGGATTTTTAGGTCACATATATTTGTTGAGGGAGTGAGAGGCAAATGGCCGGTCTCTGTACAAAGCCGCTTTGGACAGGGGGCTAGTGGTGCACTTATAAATTCTAAACAACTACTTGACACAGAACTTTCAAATTTGAGGACACTAAAGAGGAAAGATAGATCTCTTACTTTGTTGATGTTGAAAATCAAGCTCCTTATAGTTTTCGGCATAACCTTTACGAAAGTGTTTCCGACACCAAAAGCATAGGTTAATTTATGTGTACAAACTTTAACATCCGCATATCATTAGTTTGCCCTATTTTCTGATTGTTTGCCAAGTTTCATTCATATTGGTCTAGAAATAGAGCAGACCAAGTTTGAGAAAGTTAGTCACCTACGTTCCGATCTGGTCCAAAAATACACACGCAAACGGGGACACAAATTTTGCCGCGCACGGACGCCTGACTGGCATTGATACATAATACTCAACACTTGGAAATTTTTTCTGTCTGAATTTTGAATAATTTTGGCTGATTGTCTCTGTTGTTCAGATAAAGTTATGTTGTAAATAGCATTCTTGGGCGGACTGTCTGTGGAGACTTATGAGAATAATTTGCAGTTTGATTTTAAGAGAACCTTGACAGTTACTTTTATAAAATTACATTCAGAGAAATCCCATCTCTTTTTCCGATCTTTGTTGTCGTTGAACTGTGTGTATTTAAAAATTTACTTTGTTATTCCAGTGAGGAGAAAGCAAAGCTGTCTCGGAGAGTTGTTGAAGATATTGAGCAGAAGAATATGGATCTGGAGTGAGTTATAATATATACATATTAAAAAAAAGGAATAATTGTGAAGTGGTGCTTTGAGAAATGAGCTTTATCAGGGCCCTACACGCAGTTTAGGTGTCTGGTTAAATTCATGTTTTTTTCGTAGATGGTTGGCGGGTGCTCTGGTGTGGTTTGCTCCTTCTTTCCTCTCAAACATCTGTCGTCATTATCTCTCCTTCTTTTTTGTGTTTGTTATTCTCTTGTAACACCTCTTCGGCACTTATATGACCTTATTGTGTTGCAAGTGCCGTAAAACACTTACTAAAATTCAAATGGTTTGTTTAGTGCTCTAGTAATATGTTCTAAAATTGTGGTATATTAATGTTATATTATTGTGAGTGCACTCTGTCTTTTTCTCGGCAGTTGTTTAGGTAACACCGTTTGTAATTCATGTTTTTATTTTTTGTTTGTCGATGTAATGAATGCTCGTGGTTGAAAGAGATACAGTGGCCTGACACTCGTTTTCTTGCTCTGTTGTGTCTGTCATATGTGTTATAATCTTTGTAAAAATGATGTTTTAAGACTTTTGGATGAAGTTGTTTGTCTTTCTCAATATAATGAAAAGAGAATGTTTTTGGTTAAAAAACCCAAATGGGCTTTGGAAGGAAAAGCGTGCCATATTATTTTCTGATAAAATGAGACCTTGATGGGGAATAATAGACTGAAAAGGAAATAGAAAGAACTTACCTAACCCTGTCGGAAGTTTTTGTTTTAACAACAGTAAACAAAACAGTGACCACAGGATACATGTCTTTCTGGTCCTCACATTGTTTTCTATTTACAGCTTCATTGTTCACCTCACTAAAGCACATAGAGCATGCTCTAGAGCATGGATATGCACTATACAAATGCGATTTTCATTATTTATTAGTAATCAGTCTCACAAATTCTCACTCTGGTCCCGTAAAATCAATACTATCAGATCAGCCTGTCTAAGTTTCCATCTATGCATTTGTTCTCAGGCAGTTCATGTCATCACTGCAGCTTGACACGGATCAGCTGATGCCTCAGCCGGACTTGATCCCGGAGAACCTGATGGAGAAATGTGCTGCCATGAGTGTGCGCACCGACGCTATCAAGGAGCTCACAGACGCCATGGCTTGTGAGTATGGTTGAACAACACAGTTTTCTTATGGAAAATTAAAATAATAACGAATCGAAGGTCCCAATCCAGTATGCCAAAATGGTGTTGGAGAAACTGGGTGTTGTAAGGCGAATTTAAAATTACAATTTCAAATAAAAGTATGGTATGACCTTTCGGTAGGTTTATTCAACATTCCATTCAGCACAGTTTACAGTATGGTCTGCAAAGAAAAAAAGACAAGACAATAAGCGCGAATCCTTGACAATGTAACGTCAAACAGAGATAAACATGTTATTTATGACACTGGGCTTCAGTCTTTTGGCTTCACCTAATCTTACAGGAGAAGAATATATAGTCAAGTTGTGATAGAGTGACATTGTTTGACTTTGAGCTTTAGTTTTTGGGAATTCCTAGCTTTTGAGTGATATACACTGTTATTGCCTTGAATGACCAATCTCACTTTTTTGTCTGTCATTCTGCTCTATGCGTTATCTGGCTTTGTTTGGCATAGAAATGACCAATGGGATAGAGTGCTTTCTTTTTGCAACCTGTCAACCTGGATAAACGGTAGTGATTGGCTGGCTTTCAATGTGAGTTTTGAACCAGTTTCTGATTTTGAACATGTTTTCTCATGTCTGTCACCAGCTGTGTCTGGGTATGCGACAGAAGTGGAACTTGGCATCGCGGAACTGCAGGAGACTCTGAGTCAAGACGCTGAGCGCACAGCTGAGTTTGAGGTTTGTGTTTATATCGTGCACTTCCTTCTTCTTCTAGTTTTGTCTAGTCAATATTTTTGCATTTGTTGCCAATTTCTTGTTTAGTATGGTTCTTAGCTCTTTTGTTTCTAGGAGCTTTGAGCGTTATAAAATCTATGCTTGGTAGATTTTGATACTCTGAAAAGTAGTGTGTGTGTGTTATTGTTGATGCAGCTGTAGGTGCTGTATAAGAAAAAATTGAGGAGCAGTTCTCTCATCAGTAGTTCTTCAAGGCTGAATCTGTGTTGCTTGTATAATTTCAGGATATGAGAGTTAAAATTGAAGGGTAATTATACTTGGAAATAAATTCTGAATATTTTTTGGTACATTTTGTCTCTCAGTCGGAACCACCTTTGTCCGTGGCTCAATATGATAAAAACCAGTTACGCTTACTTTAAAAAAAAATTTAGCCCCTATTTCTATCCAGTCTGTTTGTCTTCATGAACTTGATGTGTAAGATATCTGTTTGGTTACCTTCTATTTCTTGATTTCTTGGAACTACTGTCTGTCCATCTCACTTTTATTTCAGACTCAGTTTGGGAAGCGCAGTCCCAGCACCGTGCTCCCTGGCATCCAGAACAGCATCGCAGAGTTCAGGAACCGCCACCAGGAGGGCAGCTCACTCAACACAGTGCTGCACAAAGCTATGAACACACACACCAACAACCTCAAGACTCTCACCAAGCAGCCCGCTGAGCTGCAGGCCTTTTTGCCGCCATCGCAACCCACGCAGAGTGAGTATTTGATAAACATTCATTAATTCAAAAGATAGTGGTTTTTAAAAAAAGGCTTTTTCCTTCGGTGTATTTTGCAAGTGTTTTCGTTTGACTCCCAGCGGCTCGCGGTTGGAACTTTGGCTGGGGAGCCGCTGGCAGCGGCCCGAGCACATTCTTTTTCAACAACTTCAACGGTGTATTAATTTTTGGCATTTGACTAAAGCAGGTTTATTTTACGAGGTGTTCTTTCATTAGATCAAGAACTATCAAAATAGGTTCATTTCTTTAGTTTGTGTTGTGTATTCTACTTGTGAACAGTCCAAGAACACCAACAACATTAAACATTAATAAATGAAACAACTTCTTGGGTTGTGTTCCAGAGTTTAATATAAAACTTAAACTTTACATGACAGTGACTTGTGCTGCCGTAGGCTAGACATCTTTGTTGTTTTCTTCTGTGTATGTGTGTATGTGTGTGTTGCTCTTTTCTTGCTCTCAGCAATACCGATATACTGACCATTACAGTACTCGTTATGGAATGCTGAAAGTGGGTACTTATAATGTTACATTATGATTACTCTACTTTACAACAGTTTTGACCACCAATTTAGTAACTTTTATGTCACTTTAAGGTTTTGTACCAAAACAGGACCCTGTCATAGTGGGAAAACCCCTTCTGGAGATAAAGTTAAGAGTTTTGAATTTCATTTTTTATGGGTTTTTAGTGTATAATTTTACATGTGTGACCTGTTTCTCTGATCTTCTTTAAATTGGAAAAAACCCAAAAACAACCCTTTTATTTTTTTTTGGTGGGGGGGAATGGATTGCTGTCCAACAATTGTACTGTGGAGGTAAAAGATGCAATACAGGTCAATTCTTAAATCTTTGGTGAAGAACATGGCACAAATTTTAATTTGAAAGGAATGTCAGCAGCTTGTAGAGTGATGTGAAGACTTTTAGTAGACTTTAAATGTATCCAAGGGAAAATTTTACACTATATGGTACTGTGTAGTATCTGGAAGCTCAATGTTCAGTCTCATGAGGATTCCTTTCATTTTACTTCTACGCTTTTTTTAGTTTTATGAATTGAAGTTGCATATTTTGGCTCAAAATGAGTGAATCAAAATGTTTTTGTTTTTTTTCCTTTTTGCAATAATGGTTGCAACTGCCCTGAGGTGGAAATAGTAGGAGTTTGTCTCTGCCTGTGAGTCAGTAAATACAGTTGAATCTGCTCCAACAGCCTCCTGTCCAAGACGGTCTCCTTTACAAATGAAAGCATCTTATTTCTCTCCTTTCTTTAAAAAAAAAGATTATAATACTGTCCAAGAAGTCTAACCACTTTTCTCCTTGACAATGGGTGGCCATCTTGGACAATTTTGACCGTACATTTTACTGTCATGTCCTCTCTTGGTAAACTTCAGTACATTTCACTTTTCCTTTGTTGTCTCTGGCCAGCCCCTGAAGACGAAGCTATAGTCACCCAAGTTCGCCGACTCCTACAAAAGATCTCTGAAATGAAAGAGCAGAGAAAGGCTTTGCTTGATCAGTTTCGCTCCCAACTGCATAACGATGACATCACCAATGTTCTCGTCACACAAGAGGCAGTGGACAAAGAGGTAGGGTACAGTTTTAAAAAAAAAATTTGTTTTTGTCCCTTGCATATGTCTATGGGATTGACGCCATCTGATTAGAAGAAAAAAGTGTCGAATAGTATATTACTTACATAACTATTATATCATGTTACTGTTACAGATTGAGATTCAAGGAATATAGATCTAGATGTATGTCAAGGATCTGAGATATATGATGATTTTAGATATGATGGTGGTAGTGAGTGATGGTGTGAGATGGTGTTAATGTAAATTATTATTGAGGAGATATGCTTTCACTCCCTGTCAGCTGAGTTTATTTTATATTAGCATCTGTCCCATCTTCCTCTGCTTCAGTGAGTCACACAGGATGGGAAGGGTACAGTTAATTAATATGAGCGGTTGAAATGACGTGTCAAAATGAACAAGTCGTTACAAATAGCATTCTTTTCGCCATAGTTTTTCTTGGTTCTAATGCAGACATATTCATATCTCACTGATTTTTCTATACAGTTTTTCTGCATTGCTCTTTGCTTATTGAGTCTGTCTAGCCTGTCTTCAGTTTCTATAACCATCATCAACGCTTTCTGTCTAGTCTGTAAGCCCAACAGACTCCTGCAAGCGATTAAGCCATATAAGTGTTGGGAACATCGATGTCCAAATGTATGTAATGTTTGTTTGATTTTGTGTTCAAAAACCAATATGAGTGGGTGGTTGGCGGATGGTCTTGTATAGTTTGCTCCTTCTTTTCTATCTAGCATCTTCTTTATTTCTCCTCTTTCTTTTCTTTGTTTGACACCCTCTAATAACACCTCTAATCTTCGACTCTTATATGATCTATTTGTGTTGCAAGTGCCATAAAATTTATCTGAAATTAATCTAAACCAATGTGTCGTTTTCAGAGCGTATTTGCTGAGCAGCTGCGGAAACACGACCAGACGGTGGATCTGATCAACAAGAACCTGGCTGCGCAGGAAAACATTCTCCGAGCCCTGACGGATGCGAATGCTCAGTTTGCTGTGATCCGCCAGTCGTTTGGAGAGGCCAAAGCTCAGTGAGTGTTTCGATTAAGTATATCTTGCTCTTGAAATGATCGTTTCATATTTTTCTTTGGTGCTTGAACAATTCTTTTTGTAGGGTAATAGTTTAGTACAGGAACTTGATTAGGAAAGCATTTTCCTGTTAATGGGAGGAGGAACCCTTGATTTTGCCGATTTTGGGTCAGGCTATGTATGTAAATTGAGATAATGGCTGATTTTTAAGATCAACCAGTTCTTTGTATAAAAATAAATGATTGAGGAAGTCTTTATTCGCCTCGTAAATATATAACATATAGTGAATTTTCACAATTAATGTCGTTTTTCTTGAAATGTCATATTTTTGCAGTTTTTTCCCTACTCCTTCCTTAGTTTTCATTCTTTTGACATGATACTTTCACGAAACTTAGATGGCAAGGCTGCCATCAATGTAACAGAGAGACATTTGCAAAAAAAACAACCCAAACTTATTCCATTGGCAAGCGATTACGCAACCTACATTTAGAAAAGGTTTTTATATATTGGGGGAACTCGCCATATTTTTTTCTTTTGCACTTATTGAAAAAAACTCGCTGTTATGCTGATAGGTTCTGGTTCAGGTATGCTCTCACCATATTTGGTCAAATTTGGTCTGTAAATAAGAAAGCCTTAGGGATTTGATATTGTTTGTTTTCAAGATTGCAGCGGTTTCCATAGCAACCGCTGTAGCTATGCCAAAATTGCCTATATAGAGATTTTCCTATGCCTGACTTATATGTGTACTTAGATTTGATCTCGGGCAACAAACATAGAAAATGGTCCTCAAGGGTAACTCCCCCCGTTAAGACAGGGGCGCAGGGATTTTTTAGATGAGAAAAAAAAATTAATATCACAACTTATAATGTACTTTTGTTTGTTTGCTGAGGCCACTGTTTAAAAAAAAATCATATCTTGTAATTGAAAGTTTGATTATGATGTGAATATCTACTTTCATGGGTCTGTGTTGACTTATGTAATCTTGATGAGGCTTCAAAGGTCTTAGTTCTTGACACATAATTAATTTTCTATAAACAGACGTGAACGGGTGATCCAGGAACTGATTGCTTCGTACGAAAAGTACGAGGAACTGCTGGCCAAGGCTCAGAAAGGATGCGACTACTACAAGAAGCTACAGGAGAATGTCAACAAGAGCTTGGAACGTTGCCGCAGCGAGTGCAAGGTCAGACAGGAGGAGAGGGAAATGATCATCTCCAAGTATGCACCCAAAGGTACTGTACTATGATGTTATTTGATGGAGAGGGATAGTGATCATATGGGTTATTTGACCATGTCTTGTTTGGGTAACGTCAAACACTAACATCTTTTTTATGCCTTTTTTTTCTTTAAAGCAAATATGAACTTTAATGAAATGAAGATGCATAATATGAGAACTTGATAAGAGATTTTCAACAATCCTTGAGTAGTAAATCTACAATGAAATTATTGCTAAACATGTGTAATCTTAAAAACAGAATATTTGTGATGCATCATGGTGAAATCAGGTGCTCGTCAAAATAATGAAATCGAAGAAAACGGCATTTGACGCCGGTTCGGGATTTTTATCAATTTTTACATTTTTGGCGTAACATTTTATAAATTATTTTGAGAACTTTTTTTTTTTTGATTTTACAGAAAAACGTTAATTAACTGCCCCAAATATGTAAATTTTCAGTTTCCAAGGACTCCAACTTTGAAAGTCACCTAACTTTGGCGGCCATTTTCTCATTCATTTGACCTCTGAAACCAGACAACCCTTACCCCCTTTTATCGCAAATATCTCAACTTCTATTCACAATAAATGGGCATCTTTTTCATAAAAAGCAAGATAAATAGATAAATAAACTGGCTTTCAGGTGATACCTATAATTCCATATGCCATAAAAATGTCGAGCGCCTGATTCCACCGCATCATGACACATTTGTAAATTTTTTAGGGCATGCCTCCCTTTTCCCATTGAAAAGCAGGCACTCTGGGGTTGTTCTATTGAAGTTATGAAGGGATACTGAAAGGCAAAACTTTTTATTTTCTTGTTTGTATGACTGAAAAAGCAGTAAAATAAAAACTATCGTTTTTATGTATTAGGTGTTCCTAATATGATGTAGTTTGTATTTGCCATTTTAGTCATTAGAAAGGCCAGTCTCTTGTCTAAAGTGTATCTGAAGTTTTCTTTTGTGTTTTTATGTTCGAGGATGTAGACCTTAATGGCATATGCTCCATGAATGCGTATTAGGATGTGTATTACTTGGTGCGGCTCAATGACCTTGTGGATTGAGAATATTTCAATTTTGAAGATGCAACACTTGACTCTCTATTAACACTCTGCCCCCCCACCAGTGACGATAAGAAGCCGCCCCTTTTCCCCATGGGATGCCGATTCGCGACGGTGTGATATAGCAACAAAAATGTTGCAAGGATCATCTCCTTTTTGACATACACACTTGTTAAAGATAAATTTCCTTTCTGGATGGTTTGTGTGGCTTTTGAGGTAAAAAATCTGTTTGTATACAACAATCGAAGTAAATTTCTTTGAAAACTGTCAAGTAGACCTAGCATTAGTGCTGCTTTATTCTCACACCGTGATGAGCATTCAGGTGATGAATGAGATATAGCCAATGTTTTCAATTCTGATTCTGATTCCTTTTTTGATGAACATGCGATCATCACCAGAGATGCCAACCAGTACTATTTTACATATTTTAGTACAATTTTTTTGCCGAAAATACGCGAATATGACTTTTCATGAAGAAATAATGCGAAAAATACGAGATTCAGCTTGGGCGAGTAAACCTAATTATCTCAAGTCCCATCTTTTGTCAAAATAGTATTAGTATCGCAGAACTGGAATATTTGAAAAACAAGTCTAATAAGGTCAGTAAGTTCATTTTTGCCAGTCGCAATTGTGATATAATATTCGCTCAGCTTTTCCCCGTCCGAGAGTACGTTTCACTTTCTCGCGAAGAGGGGACAAGCGGAAGTGCATGTGACATCGAGGCTTGATCGGGAAAATCAAGATCTACTTTCGCTTTCGTTTACACCGAGAAGTTTGCCAGCGGTAGTCTGATAACGCAACATTTGTGACATGCAGGCTGTGCAGTATAAACGCTGTGTCGCCATGCAAATAGAATGTAATCTATACTCGGACTCGTCTCTGTGCTGTCACTTGTGGGAAAAAAAGAAGAAAATACAAGCGTCGTCGGATTTTTAGATTGTCAAGCTCGCCATCGTGACCGGTCAGTGAACCTGCGCGCTTTCGCATCACAAATAAATGCGGCATCGTATGAGCAAAGACCATTTTTTGTTATAGTAACGGCGTTGCGAAGTATAGGATTACGGAACAGGGGAGGGGATTATTGAATTTTAAAAAAAAAGATATTCCGGGGGGGGGGGGGGGGGGAGGGGGGGGGGGGGGAGTGTGGGAAGTCAACATCAGAGAACAAAAACTTGGAAGCAAATTTCATAATTTTGATTATTTTGATTAGAGCCTTCTGCAAAGCGCGCATTGGTGCTGGCCATGTGCGGAATCGGGACCCTTCATACTTTGCAAGTCTGTGTTATTGAAATAAAGTGTTCGCGTTTCATTGGATGGGTGATAGCAAAGATAGTACATAACAAGATGGGCCACTTCTCTCTTTGAGCCAATTAAAAAGTGTCCTCAAAATTTGGTGGCGCCCTCTTCACAAAAGCGCACTCTTTGCGAACAGAGTTACCCTACTTGAGTTTTAAAAAATCAAAGTGAAACTAGCAAGTTTTGGGATAAATTTCGGAAGAACGCTTTTTTAAAATGGTTACCCTGACAAAAAACCTCTTCCCGAGGAAAGGGTGATGGTTTTCTTAGTTTAATTTGACTTTAGAATGAAAGGCGAGAGGTCATTAAAATGTAAAAAACCTAAAACTCCGCACTGAACGTACCCAAATTGCTGATGAACAGCAGTCGATCTGCGCACGCAAGGAGGTGCTATTCCTATTCTTCTTCTGGAAAAACGAAAGAGAGCTTCAAAACAAACTGCAGCACCATCTGAAGCAAAGAGCATACTTCCTGCGGACACTTTTTTGGCTGAGTGGCCCATCTTGTTATTTACTATCATTGGTGATAGTAAATTATACCCCTAGTGTAAGTTGTAGCTTTCTGTTAAAGACTGGCAGATTTTCAGTGTCACTGTCACTGCATCATGACCTCCCACAGTTGTCACGACGCTCACACTGCATGGGTCTAATTGAGCCATTCAAGACATTGCTCTTCTCTGAGTTTGAGCAATAATTTGAGTCTGTCAGTTCATAATATGAATAATGACACCCAGATTGGTTCTTGATAATCAAAATTGTTGTTCTAGGCCCTTCCGAAGGCTCAAATCAGGATTAATTTTTTATTTAATAATGAGAGGAAAATATTATAATAGACTGAAATACTAAGTCAAACAAGACCCCAGTACGACACTGAACTCTGACAGTACGACACTGAACACTGACAGTACGACACTGAACTCTGACAGTACGACACTGAACTCTGACAGTACGACACTGAACACTGACAGTACGACACTGAACACTGACAGTACGACACTGAACACTGACAGTACGACACTGAACTCTGACAGTACAACACTGAACACTGACGTGTTGTTGACTGGATACATGTATATTGTACGTGTGTGTGCTCCCTTTTTCCAGCTGGTGAGCTAGTAAATTTTTTAAAGAAAATATTGCTGGACACCCTGAACATTTTACTAGTTGGTCGGTCGGTTGGTCGTGGGGAATGCTCATATTCCCCTGAAAATACACATTTTCATATTTCCCAATACTTATTTATTTCGGTTTTCTGTGGTTGGCATCTTTGCATCACTTTTAATTTTCTCAGTATGCTGAAATTTTGATAATGTTTGGGGTATTTTTGTCGAGACAGGTGTAGTACTGATGTACCGCCTCTGTATCCTGGTCCGTGGGGATAAGTGTTGTGAGCTCTGTGCGCTGCATGTGTGGAAAGTGGTGAGGAATACCTCTGATAGGATGAAATATTTCTTATTGATTTTAGTCTTTGGTATTCCTCACACAACATACAGACTGGTTTGTTGGGGAAGAAATGGAAGCTAGAAAACTAGTGTTTTCATTTTTCTTCTATGGTTGATGATTTGGTTCCCACCATCTCAGTTGGAATTGCAGGTTGTTGCCTAGATTTATATTTTTAAAACTCTGTGCTGGGCTCAGTACAATATCCCAGTGTGTAATCAATGCTAATCTTGTTACTACGTGTGAAGGGTTCATGTTCCCTGTTTGTGTTTACTCCATCAGTGCCACCACCATCGCGTCCATCAGCTCCCAAGCCTGGGACTGGTGGCCACCCTGCTGCGACCTTAACCCCTGGTGCTGCCCCTGGACCTGACCTGACCTCGATGGCAGCTGACATGTCTGCTTTCCCTTCTCTCTCGGACGCTTCAGCTGTACCGACCTTACCAATGTCGCAGTTGCCAAGTGCCATTCCACCGTCGTTCGAGGGGCCGAAGCTGAAGGATTATCTCCCGTTCATGAAGCCCCGAAGTTTCGGACCAAAAAGCCAAGGAGGAGGAGGTGGTGGTGGGCTAAACTCTGACCCTGTTCCCCCAGTTTCCCCTAGTGTTCCACCTCCTCAGTCCCCATTACCTGGCGCTGGCGACATGCCAGGAAACCCTGGTGGAAAGTACCCAGGCCTCGATCCAAATTTAGCCTCCGTCTTGCCAGCCACCATCGCTCAGTACCTCGCGTCTGTCTCAGCCTCGTCCACCTCCACAGCGGGCGCCCACATGCCTGGTGGTGCGCGGCCCTCCCCTTCGCCCTCCCCCTCGCCCTCTCCGGCCTCTGCAGTGAGGCCTACGCCCCCACAAAGCCCCTCTGTGCTCCCAGGTCCTCTGGCCTACCCTCAACGCCCTCAGAGTCACCCCGGCCCTCTGCCTCAGAGTGTGAATCCCGCACCCAGCCCGGCAGTTGGCGGTCTGCAGATTGGAGGTGTTAGTGGTGCTGGTGTTGGTTTACCAGCTGCCTCAGTTCAGAATATGCTGGCATCAATGTCTCATTCGAGCTCGGCGTTACCTTCGCAGACCCCAACGAATTATTCACAGCCCGCTGCCCTTCAGAATCCCGCTGGCCAAGCGTATTTGCAACAGTACACCCAACAACAACAACAGCAACAACAACAACAGTATTTACAGCAGCAACAGCCGCAGAGTTTACCGCAACCCCAGTTTCAGAATCAACCGCAATATCAGCCGCTGCAGAATCCACCTCAACAGCAACCGCCACAAAGCCTTCCACAACACCAGCAGCAGCAATATCCGATACCTTCGGGTCAGCAAGGCTTTCCATATTCCGCAAACCCTAGTCATCCGCAACAGCTGCAGCACCCGCCACAGCAACAACAACAACTGCCACATCAACCCCACAGTCGAGGTGACAGCACCAGCATGGTGTCGTCTGTTCAGAGACCCATCTTTTCTCCAGGAGCGGCGCCCGCCAACATGATACCAGCCTTGTCTCAGCCGTCACAGCCACAGTCGCACCAGCAGTTCCAGCCCTATGCCGGTCCCCACCTACCCCAGCCGACAGCCGCAGCACATGGTCAGCAGGTCGCTTCAGCCGCTCAAGGAAAGCAGACGCCAGCTCAGTTTCCAACCAACCCTCAGCCTCCTGTACCCCAGCAACAACAACAGCAACAGCAGCAGTGGCAACAGCAACAACCAAGCAACAAGTCTCAACCTTTTGGAATCCAAGGTCAAGGACCGACTAGTCAGAGCGTCTCTGGTCAAATTCTGAATTTCCCAGCCAGTTTGCCGTCTCAGTCAGTCGGTCACTGGCCTTCATCGTCAGCCCAGATGTTCCCCCCATCTAGTCAGGGTCAGACTGTGCTGGCCGCGTTAACACCCGGGCTACAACAGTACGGGGCCGGTCAGTACATGACCCAGATGCACCAAGGTCCTATGGGAGGGCAGCAGCGACCCGCTGCTCCGGTCCAGGAACCAACTCAGCAAGTATACGGGCAGGCCACTCCTGGGATGTTGCCAGGTCAACCGGGGTATCAGCTGCCTTCAGGTCAAGCTGGGACTCAAGGTCAGGTTGGGGGTCAAGGTCAATTCCAGACCCACCAGCAGAGCCAGATCAGACCTCAAGCCCAGGTGGCTGGTCAAATTCAACCTCCTCAGCAGAGTCAAATAGGACCCCAGGGTCAGGTTGCCGGTCAAGGTCAGCCTCAGCCGTACTCGCAACCAGGTCAAGGTCAGAAATACATGACTCCTCAAGGTGCCCCCAGTCAGCTCCCAGCCGGGGTCAACCAATCACCGCACGGAAGTCCCTCGCGCTTGGCTAATCAGAATGTGAGACCTCCGATAACCAGCGTTGGGTACCACTCAGTCTTGGACCAATCTCATGAGGGACCGTTCTCCGCGGAGTACAGCTACGCCGGACAGTATTACCGCCCGCAGGGTACCCCTGAGGGCTACCGGCCCCACCAGATGTACCAGGGGGGGTACCAGCACAGTGTGACCCAGAGCTACCAGAGCGCCCAGACCTACACCAGTAACCCCGTGTCCACGCCTCTCATGTACGGCCAGACGGGAAGAGCCGTTTCCACCGCGGCACAGATGCATCCTAACCACATGCCGGTCAGTGACAGCAAAGCCAGCCTGCCGGTGGCGTCAGGACAAGTGTCGTCTGCTCAGGGTATGCAACACAACCAGCAGGTGCTCATGGCACACCAACAGCACCAGCAGCAGCAACAACAACAACAGCAGCCGCAGCCGCAGCAACCTTTGCATCCAGGACAACAGCCTCCGGTACGACAACAACAACCGCCAGGGCTACAACAGTACCCTGGTTTGATGTACAACCAACAAGCTCCACAGACGAGTCAAGCTTCTAGCCAAATGATGCAAATTCCTGTTCAGCCGCATCAGAAACAGCAACAGCAACAACAGCAGCCTCATTTTCAGACAGGCCAGCTGCCTCAGCAATCTCAGCCGCCAAGAGCCCCCGGACCGCAGCCACAACTCATGTCCCAGCCTCCACAAGTTCCGTTGCCATACCAACAGCCTCCACTACAGCCACACCAGAACATGAGGGCACCTGCACCTCAAGCACAGCAAGGAGCGGTGCATCCTTACCACCAGCAACAACAGCCACAACAGCAACAGAGACAGCAACAACAACAGCCTGGATACTACAACCAGCCTGTTGCCGGACAGTTCCCACAGCAGGCTGCACACCCACAAGGACAACCGATGGCTCCTCAAGGATTTCAGCTACAACCATTGCAACCCCAACAGGTAAAGAACTCATTTCTTTTTTTAAAAAAAGAATTCTTTCAGAGTTTGATAAGAGAAATTTCCTGTTTGCTGTTTTGTAGTCAACCAGCTCTTCTGCGAGGTGAAGGGATGTCGTTCACCTTGTTGATGTGATAAAGGACATCCACTCAGATTGGTCCTTGAGAGAGCGACGTTATTGTTATTCATATACACTGGCTGTATTGAAGGGGAAATGCATCAGTGGTTTATCAACAATGGCAAGAAGTTGTGCACCAAAGGTCGAACATTGCTCTGGTGACAGGTGATAGTCTTCTTTGATTGTGCTCATCAACATTTTATTTATTCCTTGTCTGTAACCAGGTGTCTGGTGAACCCCGACCAATGACTCCACAGCAGCCTGCTATAGCTGCACCGACTCAGCCAATCCCAGGCAGCCGGAATGTGATGGTCGCACCTCTCCAGCCTAATTATGCTCCGGGCCAAGGAAATCGGGGTAAATTTGTACTTTTGTTCTTTGGTTTCTTTAATTAAGATAATACTTTATTGTGATATGTTTATTGTCACAGTGGAAAAGTTTTTTCGTTGCTGTGCAGGAATGATTAAGGACACATGTAGATATACATAGAATTAAGTTGTATATTACTTTCACAACTCATGAAGGATACGAAATGTTTTAACTCACTGGAGACGTTTCACGCAGCATTTAATTTGCGAGCACCAAATTTTCCCGAGAAGCGGTTCACTCACCCCTATGCGAGCACAAGCACTATGTGAACCGTCTCTTACCGTGCAGCCGACCTTTGTTTCGTTTCATGTGAAGTTTCACCAGATTTGGCTGAAAATTTTTTTAGTTATTGACGCGGAATGAAAGTTGGTCACACTGAGGCCCTACTTTTGTTTCTCTGACTGGTGTCTGTTCTCGCAACACTTTGTTGTCAGTACGATGGCAGCATGTTTAGTTTTAATAAGATTTTACAGCACTTATAACACAATAAGGTCATATAAGTGCTTAAGATTACGTGTTACAAGAGAGTAAGAAACACAAAAAAGGAGAGATCAGGACGAGAGTTGCTTGATAGGAAAGGAGCAAACCTCACCAGAGCACCCGCCAACCACACACTTGGCAGCACGAAATGCAAACATTTTTCATGTGTTTGATTACTTTGACTGTTCAGAAAATTCTGATTGTGATATTTTTGACCATGGGATCCTGATTTCAATGTAAATGAGCATCAAAGCCCTGATTCTGATAAAGAATGTTCTAGATCTAGATTAGGTTTTCAAATGCAAAATACCGCTTTGTCTGGAGCCCTGTTTTTTTCACACTGAGATGGATTAGACTAGAGTTGGGGCGAGCGGACTGCGGACCTCAAGCCTCAAGTCAGTTAGTTCGTTCTTTGGGTCCGCTCCACAATTTTATTCACTGGACGGGCGGGCAAACGGACGAACTCTAGCAGACGAGATACTTGACGCGAGGTTAAGCCCAGTCTATTGTTTGTTAATTAGGCCTAATGTTTCAACCACTAGCGGTGCCACAGGGAGTGAGAGAGGCTGGTGACGTAGTACTATGTGTGTAACCTTTCACCTCGTGTGTGGGCACACTGTGTACGTTCCAACTATCGGAAAGGCTGGGGGGGGGGGGGGGGAATTTCCGCCACGAACGCCAAGCTACAATGTGAAGCAGGCGTGTGATTTTTTTAATAATTTTTTTTTGAAGGGGGAGGGGGGTTGTAAGTTGTATGCAATGGAAGGAGTCGCTCCCGTCCGTCCGTCCGTCCGCCCGCTCGAATGCATGGAGTCTCTCGGTCCGCCCGTCAGCTCGCTCGCTAAACGAACTGTTGTCTCTGTCCGATGTGTAGCGAGTAGCGAACTACTCTTCACAAGCGGACGGTTCGTTACCCGTCCTCTCGTTTGCGGGTAGTGCCAGCGAGTAGTTCGTTACTCGTGGACACTAATTTTGCGAGCCCGACCTAACCCTATTAGACAGCTAATACATAAAGATTACCATATCAATTACCTGCCTATTCATGAGTTTGGACTTTTTATTCATTTTGAAAAACAAAATACAATAAAAGATGCACACAAGGTAAATTTTTTTTTTTTTTTTAAACTCAATACATGTCAAAAAATTTTGGGGAGCAACAAATTTTCACATTTTCAAAAAATCATTTATAAAAAAACTATAAAAGATATTGCCTTTCTGGGTTTTTTTGGTGTCCTATTTGGCATGTTTAGATCTGTTCTGTGTGTAAAAATGGTTGTTGTATGTCTTTGGGAAGGGTGTTGTTTGAAATATTGAAATACCCCCAAAAATGCCAGTCTTCAGCACATGTAGACCTGAAAAAGGCCCAGTATCCAGTGAGTTAATCATAGGTTGTAATATTTGCAGTGTCCTTTCTATCATCATAATAATATTATCATGTGCTGTGGATTTGTGCAAAATCTGACACTTCTGTGATCTCCTCAACTCAGCTCTGTTACAAATGACCACATCCCTCTTTCTGTGTTACGATTTTTTTCTTTATTATAATGAAAGTATTCGAGATGTCTGCCTGCCGAGGACAACCACTTTGCTCCTTGTCAATGGGTGCATGTTGAGACAATTTCGACAACATGTGAATAATGTTATAAAATCATTCTTATGGTCATGATGTATGCCCAGTCGAAATATAATTTATCTTCTGCTTTAAGCCATCCTTATTTTTACGATGAAAAGAAATCTTTCAGAATTTCTTAGAAATTTGATAATCTTTTAATGAGTTACAATTTTCAATTTAAAATGGAATTCCTCCTGGATGAATATTTTTTTTCTTTCCTATCTTTATCAGTTTTCTCTTAATCTTCTCTCCTCTTGATAACCACATCTTTTGTTTCATATCCATCCTGACCCTTTACATGAAATAATTTTTTTTGGCCTCTTCTTAATTAAAAAATTCTTTCACGTTTAGATCCCAGTCAGGCATCTACCCCAGGCAGTCAAGCCACTCCCTCTGTCCCGACAACGCCGACGTCACCTGTGGAGAATATGACAGTGTCGCGACAGAGTTCTTCACTAGATGACATTCTTTCCTCTAGTCCTAATGGTATGGCTGATAAATAGTCGTTTATGATAAAGTTTGTGTTATGTCTCTGTGTTATAATAGTAGTTTGTGATAAGATTTGACTGATTGTTTTTGAAAATTTTGTTTTCATTGACAGTAGCATTTTTTAAAAGAAGGAACAGCTTGTGTCTATTAGGAGTTCTGTCAGCTGCACGCTTTTATTACCAAAAAAGATTTTCTGAAAACAGTAGCAGTAAGCCCTTTGGACTGTGATTGGAAATTTTTGTTTAAAAAAAAAAGAATAAGTTTCGGCATGTGAATGAGACCTGTTCCACGAAATATTTCGAGAATTCAGAAATATAGTTTTTTGACTGTCCTCAGGTTAGAGGTTTTATTGAAGCTTATGGGAAATGCTATCTGAAAAAAATAGTATATATATATTTGTGTATGTGATTCCACATCAGAAGACCATTATACCTAAAGAAACACTGCCCATAAATGTAGATGATTATTTCCCATTTTCTGCCACAGGTGTCAAAGACACGATCATCATTCCACAAGTACTGACAGACCAAGAGAGACAACTTCAGAAAGAAGAAGCCATCAAGAAACAGGCGCTGGTGCCAGTCTCGGAGCCCTACAGCAGCCAGGGCGCCTTGCATAGGCTGTTGAGTGAGGTGGAGGCGTTCGGCAAGTTTGTGGACGAGCTCTCCGTCACCATACTCGGAGTGTCACGGCTGGATACTGTATGGAAGGTGAGCGGATTTAGCCTAATGTAAGCATGGGCAAGCATGTCGAGGTCGTTGGCCACATGAAACAATTCTGTATAGTTTGTGTGAAAAGGAAGCCTTGTTTTGTTACTTTGAGAGTAATTGTTTCTATTGATGACTGTGGAAGTCAGTCATTTTCTGCAAAATTGGTTAATTGGGCATATGTCATATGCACAATTCTTGGCTTGCTGGGGTCAACGGTTAAGCAAAGGATGGTGTCTTTTTCCCTTCAAATTCAAAATCAATTGTTGGTTTGTCATTGTAAAACCAAATCCTTTTAGGGTCTGTGAAGTAAATAAGAAAAATGCTTTCTCCTGCAGAGTTTACTGGACAGTCAAGATAGTGCCACCAAGAAACAATCTATGGCCATAGCCAGGTGTTACCCCATGAAGAACAGGGACCCGGATGTGATGCCATGTAAGTTGTTGTTTTGATGCCTTTATGGTCTATTGTAAAATGAAGTGAAATTCAAGGTCAGAAATTGAAGGGGAATGGTTGTGAATAAAATTTTTTACTTTAAGACAGGATTGTTAGCTTATTAAACTTACATAGAGCTACCAAATGAAATAAATACAGGGATGCTGTAAATGTATTTACTAATGGGTGTGATATTCACTTCCTATTACTAAATGTAAAAAAGACAAAGGAATTAATAATAGACTTAAGAGTAAAAAAAGACAATTGCAACCACTATTTATTAAAGATGAGGAAGTGGAGGTGGTAAACTCTTACGAGTATCTTGGTGTAACAATTGATAACAAACTTGACTGGCTTCCCAACTCTGCTCTTGTGCATAAAAAAGGTAAATCAAAGAATGTTTCTTTTAAGGAAATGAATAAGTTTCCGTGTTGATATTAAGATTATGTCCCTTTTATACCTTTCTATAATTGAAAGTGTGCTATTATTTTGTATTTGCCTCATGGTTTGGAATGTAGGGTGAAAGTTAAAGAAAAATTTGACAGAACCATTAAGAGAACCAGCAAGATCTCTGGATATGATTTTACTAGAATTGATGAAATGTATAACACCACAAGTATAAGAAAGATGAAAAGCATTATAAATGATCCTTTTCACGCAAATTGTCAGATCACGCAGCGGCAGATATGTACCTCTAAAAACAAAGAAAAAAGATAAAAAAAGAAGTATTTTACCATCTAGCATCGGCTATTGTCAGAATAAGCATAGACGTATTGCTCTTTAGAGTATGTATCTATATAACTCCAAAGATCTTGTAATTAAATTCCTGCTTGTGGTTGAATGATGCATCTGGTGTGATATGTACATTTTGTCAGCTTTTCTTCTCTTTTCATATTGAATTTTAATGAGAGAAATATATAATTTAAAATTTTAATGTATATGGTCCTGGACAGCCAAGAAAAATTTCCTTCTGGGATAATAAAGTATTATCTTATCTTATCTTATCTTTCCAGAACAAGACCTTGTAACTATTACATCCATATAATTATCTTGAGGTCGTTGACTCTTGGGGGAGTATGCCCATTGAGAAATGACTTTTGTTTGTAGACATTGATTCCAAATTTCCAAAGGTGTTGTTGCTCAGCTGTTTCCTTTTAATTGTAAATCATTGCTTCTCACCATCATCTTCAAGAGTTATATATATATATATATATATATATTATGGAGTTAAAAAAAAATATACATATGATCATTGCATGAGCTTGTTGTGAAAGAGAACATTAGATCACCTTTTAAAACGATTTTATTTGATGCAAATGTTGTAGTCGTGAAGAATATATGCTTATTTTTTAAAACTTATTCCTGTCTTCCAGATGATGAGACCAGAGTTGTGTTAACCACTACCAAGGATGACTACATCAACGCCAGCTGGCTTAATGTGAGAACTGACAAACGTGAAATAGTAGAATATTTGAGTTATGCTGTTCTAAATAGCCTCCTTTTGTTTATTGTTGTTAATAGCGAGATAGTCTTTAATGAGAGATCGGAGCATCCTATAATGTACATATAACTGTAAAACGGGCTCCTGTCCAACGCGGCCGCGGTCACCATATTTCAACACACAACCCCTATCACACTAAGCAATAATACCTGTCTTAGACGGCCACCTTAGTGACTCCTGTACGCTTTGTCATAAATCAAGCATTGGCCCCTGGCGTTGTGGGCGAGCCGTAATAATCTAAAAACCTGTCGTTGTTAGGTAGTCCCGCCAACCGATCATGTTGCATAGGTCCCTTCCATTGTTGACCAATAGGTAACAAAATTAATTTTCGGCTGTTGGTGAGGGACGCGTGTGATCCCTCATAACCCATAAGCCCCGCCCAGAACTCATACACAAATTGTAAGTGAGATCAGTGGTCACTGTTTACCCAGGCTGTAACAAAGTAACAATGAGTGGAAGCGACACATATGTTTGTTTTACCATTGCACTTGGTTCCCCCTTGTGTGACACATTTCGTTTTATTGTCACCTGTGCTCGTCATGACAGGAGCTAGCCCCGTCTTGTCCCAAGTTCATCACCACGCAAGCACCGATGTCGCTGACCGCTGGTGAATTCTGGGCCATGGTCTACGAGCAGGGCTCCGAGGTCCTGGTGCAGATAACGAGCGAGTATGAGACTGGCAAGGTGGGTTGTGCAGTGGGTTGTGCGGTGTGAGCGCAGGGATAGACATCAGCGAGAGCATGGTAGTAACAAAAAGATCTGACTAATCAGGGGAGAAAAGAGAAAGGAGTTTCTGTGGGAAACTTTCCTCATAATGATATAAGTTTTTATATATTTTTGCAACAAGTTGTAACATCTGTTAAAGATCATCCTCAGCAATGTAGCAGCCCTTGTAAGTAAAACTATTTTACTCGAGCCTTTGAGAAAAATGGATAACATGGTGTTACGAGTATTTATTCTCAATATTCATTTTGACTTATTAGTCATTTGTAAGGTTAAAGAGGTTTAAAATCGTGTTTTAAAGTAATATACCTTATGTTAGACAAATTCTAGGTGGCAGTATCACAAAACTCTCAAACAAAATCAAATGTCAACATCACTAGAATACAAAGTTGTAAGTTTCTCAGGCACAACACATCAGCTGTGAACTGTACATGATCGTCTCCACAGAAATTCCCGATCTACTACCCGACGGAGAAGGATAAGCCCCTGGAGCAAAGCTCAGTAGTTCTCTCCCTTCAGTCTGTCAAGTTCCGACAGTACTGGGTGGAGCGCATCCTTTACCTTAAAAATACTCAGGTCTGTTCCATAAAAGTTATATTTTCTCCTTAGATGTGTGCCCAGGTAATTGAGCAGTTCTATTGCCATTTGTGAAAAGGTGGTGGAGGTACATTTTGGGGGGGATTTTAACCCTTTTGTTACCAGGGGGTATGCATTCCTACCGTCAGTTCTGATTTTCAGCTGAGCTCGTTACCCAGGACAGCAGCCTAATGAGTGTTAATGGACATGCGGTCTAGATCTAGCGTTCTTGTGACATATTTCGGACGCCGGGTCTTAGATTGTTTCACTTTTCTCAATTTTCTTATTCCTTTTTTCCTCCCATTTTACTATGAATTTCGAATAACCTGTGAATCTAAGTCAAAAGGTGAATTTTTTTGCCCTTTTAAAGTCATTTCGATGTTAACGTTTTACGAGAGCACATGGCCGCCCACAAGCCTAGATCTATATTTATTGATTGCTTGCAAGCCTGATAGTAAAGAAATACTAGCGTATTTGGTACTGAATTGTGCGTCTTTTATACCCAAATACGAATCTTCACAGCGCTTTTTGCTAAAACTCTCTACAGAAGAATTAGAGCCAGGTTATTAGCGTTACGTTCGGGTAACATAATATAAGGTATGGCACAGCGCTATAAATTACCCATTTTCATAACATACCTTTTACGTCATAAGGCAACGAAGGGGTTAACTACACATATTACCAGTCCTGCGAATTTTGAGGAAAGATTGTAGCCCTTAGTCTACATGCTTTTTGCTTTACTCTCGTATAGAATGTAGTGTACATGTCTCTACATCGCAGATATTTTGTTTCTTCCAAAGAATCAGTAGAACAAGGTATTTGTAATAATTGATTGGAATAATTTTTGTAATTATTTTCCGTTTCAGACGAAGCAAGGAAGGACGGTGGTTCATCTACAATACAAAAATTGGCCAGTGAGGTAAAGGAATGTGAAATGTCTTGGTTGATAACCCATTTAGAAGGGTGATGTCTGGTCACTCTGTTTTTTTTTTTTCAATTTTTGAATGAGATCTGGTTATTGACTTTGTTCTTTATTGATTTCTAATGATCAGTTTTGAATGTTAACTCACTGAGCACCGCTCCCACAGCGTACACGGTTCGGTAAAGTTCGCGTCGGGGACCGCGGCCGCAGCGTACGCGGGTTCAACTATAATTGACTATAAAGTTAACCCAGCAGTTTAAAAATGCTTGCAAATAGCCCCAGTGGTTTAAACAGGATATCAACAAGCTAGTTCTTTGTGGTTTCTGTATATTTACCACTTTTAGTGCGAATAAACGGGTTATTTGTCCAACAGACTGAACAACTGAAAGTAAGGAGCTTCCGCGCAGTTCGTTGTTGTTTCTCGAACGCGAAGCATGGCACAGCGAGTAGTGTCAAAGTTTATTGCAACTCTCGATAATTTTGGTGAAGATTTAAGTGACAGTGAAATATCAGATAGATAACTTCATAAATCAAAATGTGAATTCGCCTAGCAGTGATGGAGATGACTGAGAAAATGACATTAGCTAGATCTAGGTCTAGACCAACATCGTCTCTCGATCATAAATCTGACTCATCAGCGAGTACACAGCCTGGTCCGGCTGGGGATGATGATAGTATTGATAGTAGATCTAGCCCCACTACTAAACTCTAGTTCATATCAGCCCTCAAAGTGGAGAAGATATAAATGTACCCAGACCTGGGACATCTATTGACAGATCTAGCTAGATCTAGCACTAGCAACCAGGCTCACCGTGGAAGATCTAGAGATCTAGGTTCTAGATCTAGATATTTGTATTTTTTTTTCCTTTCTGAAAAATTAATTATCACTTACATTTTAATGCTACTTCACTGTACACACTCATGCTTCATTCCCCTACACACAAACACACACTGCCACAACCATTTTGTGTAAGTTTATTAGTAGATTTCTGCTTTGTCACATCACTTCCTTTAAAAAAAATTTTTTTTTCTGAGGCAAGTTTGTCCCAACTTTCTGTCCCATACATTTTTTTGTCGTTCATTCTTCAGAAAATGTGTTTGTTGTGTCTTTTGAACCCATATCTAATTAAATAGCTCAGAAAATTTCAAAGAAATAGCATTTCATTTCAATTTTTTATAAATTTTCAAAAAGTGGGGGAAATTGGTGGTCCTCTGGGGCTTGGAGGCAAATCAGGGCGTGGTGCTCAGTGAGTTAATATTGATACAGAAGTTAGTGTTGCTGTTCTCTCGTTGGAGTACATTTACAAGATACAATTTTTTTTCTTTACAAAATTGAGAACAAATAAAGAATATACTGAATTTCAAACTTTTCATTTGTAGAAATAAATATTTTACTACCAACAGGTTCCAACATAGTTCGATCTTCCAGGTCCGTTATATGATATTTTTGCTAACCATTAGGCCTTTCAATGGTTGTCTGCTTTTGTAACAAAAATATCGTCTTCTATCAAAACATTCAAATTTGTATTGTTCTTTAATGAGCAAACATTCCTTGCGTCCCCAGTGGTTTCCCAGAGGAAGTGAGTAGCATTGTTCACTTTATCTCCGAGGTGCACAGCTTCTACAAACAGCAGCGCAGTCTGACCAAACCCATCATTGCTCATTGTGGGTGAGTAGTGCAGAATGTACAATACTATAGCCCTAATTTCTGTGAGGTGTGAGTTGTTTGTGAACGTTCTGTGTTGTCAACTCCTTTTCGCTTATTCTTATCAGTCTTACTTTTGTACTTGTCTTCTTGTCGTACTCGTACCAGAACTCAGGGAGTTTTGTCACTAAGATCCTATTTTCACGATGCTGTTCATTTTACATCCATGACGATTTAATTTCATAGAATGTAGAATCATTCCTTGCTTGACCGACAGCCATGTTATTTTATATTTATGCATTTGTAATGACTAGAGTGGTTTCAGTTTTTGGGTAAGAATTGATTTTGAATTTTGCTTGGATGGCTACCTGAAGGGTTCATACTCTTTTCAATAATAAAACTGCCAAGTGAGTTTTAGTATGCAAAACATTCACACAAACTTCTGATCTCGATCCTACCTAACCCAGGATCAGGGAGACGTCCCATAAGACTAGTCTGTTCCCATTACAATGTGGACGGTATCTTGCCAACTCGCCAAAAATTGTTCAACTCATGAACAACATTCTACAATGACTGATGAATGGTTCTTTCCTTTTCTTTTCTTCTGTTGTGCTCGTTCTTTTATCACTTTCCACATTTTTGCAGGTTGGGTGTTGGCCGTACGGGTGTGTTCATGTTGGTTTACACGGCCATGCAGGAAATGCTGCACGGCAACGGACTGATTGACCTGCCGGGGCTGGCGCGCCGCATGTTGACCAAACGACGGGGCCTCATTGGGAAGAAGGAACAGCTCATGTGTGGATACCAGTCTGTGTTGTGTGCTGCGGAGGAGTATCTGGAGAAACGTGAGGGGGTTGATTCATTTTGTGTTTGTGTGTGTGTATGGGGGTGTGTGTGGGTGGGTGGGGGGTGTGTGGTGGGTGTGGAAGTATTGAGGAGAGAGGGATTTTTTTGTTTGTTTGTGTGTGTGTTTATCTGTACAGTCATACATCTGAGTTTATCGTGGTATTGTGTGCCCTCTTGGTGCAGTTAAAAGTTCATGTTCTATGACATTGTTTCTTCTGTTTATTTATGTTATAGTTTTAATGTGTTCTTTGTCTCTGTAGCGAAAATGCTCTAATTGATTTTTGATAGCCCAGTGAGGTGAAAATTTTATAGGCAACCGCGCTCTGGATCTTCAGTAATTGTTCTTTTAAGGTGCTTTCTCTCATTCAAGGATGTCAACAGTCTAATGAATGTAGCATCTCCACCTTTTTGAAAAAAAAATTTTCCGTTTTCGTCTACCGTAGGTGGTGTTCTGGTGAAGAACCCTCATTTCTCAGAGCTGCGGAAAGGGTCTCAACGTGGCTCTCCCAAACATCAAATGCCTCACACTGCCGCCCCAGATGACATAGTTCTCGGCTCTGTTGACCTTCAGACCTTGCGGGAAAACGTGGGCCGCTTCCACATTCACTCGGATCCCGCCAGCGACGGCAGCGATAGACGAGAGGGCTCTGTTGGAGGCTCTGATTCGGGCCTGGACCGGAGGAAGTCGGTGGAGAGCGTCTCATCCATCAGCAACAACAGCTTGCCAGATGTCGTGCAGCAGTACCCAGACACCCAGAACGCCGGGGACGGTAGAGCGGACAGTTTAGAATCAGGCCAGACTCTGCCCACACACCAACAGCAAGCTCTCGGTCCAGTGGACACGTCTGATTCTGATTCTCATGCGATGTTGAAAAATCTGCCCCCTCGAGATGTTGACGCCAGTCTTACGCCCAGTTTTGTTGGCCCCTCCCAAGGGAGCATGACTCCGACTCAGGATGTGAATCCGAAAGCCTCCGCTCTTTCATCGTTAGCCCAGCTTCAGGATCCAGCGACGTTCTCCATTGGCTCACCGGATATGAAGAAGAAGAATAAGATAACGAAAGCAAACTTTGGTCAGACCCAAGGGTCCTTGCAGAGCTCAGGGGCTGCTGACCCATCAGATCCTTTCAGCAGTCTTGACCCGATGTGGTCTCTTGGCAAACAGGAAAAGTAAAGTGGAAGTATAAGTGTGTCTCTTTTTGTGGAAATATCTATGGTTCTGAAATATTGTCTATTTTTAATTCTTTGTTTGAGTCAAAGCTGGGGTGGAATATCAGCTTTTTGATTTATTATCAGTTCAGTACTATAAGGACATCTTTCTGGTGATTAGTAGCACGTGCACGAAAACATTTAACTGAAACAGAAGGGTAAACCTGCAATATTTGTGCATACTCAAAATCATATCAGTTTCATTTTATGTGTACCCTATACTTTGTTTAACCTGAAATCGTTTATACTTGCAAAGGATTTCAAATCCTCAATTGTTTTTTTTTTTCTCTCTTTATTCTTATCATTTCAACTCTCCTCAACATGAAATCTACTTAGCATGAAGAAATTATGTGGTCCTGTGAACTTCATGTTATCAAGGTTTTAATGTAGATACAAAGAATCAAAATTTGTTTTGAAATAAATTATTCCAGTTTTTAGATTTTTTTTATTGCAAGCACTTTGTTACCAAAATTATGATAACAATTGAATAATTATGAAATATTTCCCCCTATTACATTGGTTGGGCAACGGTAAAATTGCAGATACCCAAGTTGAACTTCTCTCAAAAGCAAGATATCTTATACATCAGTGGTATGAAAGAAACAACATGAAGACACTCTTTCTCGATGTGTATTTTGTTTTTCTATGCAGTGAATAGAAACTTTCTTAGGTGTAAATCAGCATCTTTCATCACCCGGGAAGTGGCACAATACCTGGTTTTTAGTACCTCTTATAAGCAATGATTATTTTATGTTAACTTGCTTTTAAAAAAAGACCAAAATGGTGATAGTAGTAAGAAATGTGGCTACTCTGTTGTTCTGAATCTTGCAAAAGTGCGTTAAAGATTCCATTGGGTAGTTTGCCCATGATGTGAAGAAAACGAGAATATTCTGTTGTTGCTAGTGCCTTTGTGCAGAGCTCTTACTGTTCTTTTTTCTACTGTTTAAAAAGACCAATTTTTTGTCAATGAGATGTCTTGTTGAGAGCAGTTGGGTTTGAAAAACACCTGCAATTTTTTAGTCATTGCTCAGAGTAGAGTAAGGTCTGTGTCCTCTTGATATTGCATGATTTTCAGGCTTGTTTCTCTTAGAATTCCTGTGGGGTGGGTGGGTGTCGGGGAATAAATTGATGACAACCAGGAGTGGTTTGGAATAAGAAGGAGAGATCTGGCAATTATACTTCATATTATAATCCATACAGTGTGGTTTCCGTACAGTGTGGTCTTTTTTTTTCTCCAGTGAAAGACATTCAGTAACCGTGACCATTGCCCTGTGATATATTTTTCTTCTGTGTCGTAAAGAATGATTTAAGTTCCAACCTGGCTCATTTTGGTTGTTTAGGGGAAGGTGTAGGTTTTTGCTGATCTGCAGTGTGTTGCTTGGACAGTATTATTGATTGAGGCTCCAACTTTTCCAGGAATGTCCGACTTTCCAAAGCACATTGTACCATATTTTTTGTTTCATAGGCTTCAGTTTTTTCCCCCCCCCCCCCTGATGTGGTCTTTGGGAGGTATTTGTTTGATTTTTTTTTTTTTCAGTATGACTTTTTTCACTGATATGTGATGTCAACATTTATTTCTCTACAGCTTTGAGTTCAGAGTATCAAGTTACGTGTAATAACACCCCTCTGTTGTTTGTGATGCTCGTTTGTTTTTGTGGTCTTTCTACTTTTTTCTTTTCCTTGTTTGCCTTTGCCGTTATCAGTAACCACAAAATATTTCTGGTTTTTTTTGTTGCTGGTTTGCTGTTAACTTCAAGTCAATCACTCTGCACGTATTGTGCTACTCTGCACGTATTGTGCTACTCTGCACGTATTGTGCTACTCTGCACGTATTGTGCTACTCTGCACGTATTGTGCTAAGTGTAATAAGTAAACTTATTTGCTGTGATGTTTGCCGACCAGAACTTACTCCCAGGCTAATTGAGGCTTGAGCTTGAAGCTTGTGTGGATGGGAAGTGCACATATTTGCCAAAATGTAGGTAGGTTGTCACCTCTGAACTATTTTGTCTCAAGAACCTCTTTATTTAAGTACACTTTGGACAAAACCGTTCTGAGGCGACAATGTGCATGCTCAAGACGCGTTGATATGAACAAAAATAGTTTTCCCTTTGTTGCAGTATTTCACATACTCTGCATACGTATTTATTTTGAATGACGTAACATTTTATAATCATTACATGCCAGTCTGTTGGGACCATGGAGTATAAGAGTGGCAGAGATTCCTCATATTGGTATAAGTTTCTGTTGTATGTGAAGTATTTATTTTGCCTTTTACGACTCATTTTCTTTTCTGAGAGCCGTAAAGGGTAACGCACCATACTTGTAGTTTATTACAACTTTTTTTTTTATTGTAAGGAAAACTGCAGATGTAGCCTACAAAGATTTTCAGCTTTTAATATGAAGGCGTGTGATCTTGGCCTCCAAGAACACTCCGAAATTATTTCCAAGCTGATCAATTTTTTTTCCCTATTTTGCATTATTCGGGGCTAATATTGCGAAGTTTTCTGACAGAAGGCTAGATCTATGATAACAATATTTTTTGGGTAAACTAGGAGTTGTATTTTTTACCTTTTTCTGTAGTAAACTTGCTTCAAGGTAAATGCTTTTATGATCACTGGGCTACAGTGTGGATTTTATGATATTGTTTACTTTATTATATATATTAAAATAAATTTACCTTGTCTTCTTCTTTGTTTTGTTTGATTGTCTGTATCACGCAATTATGTCAGCTTCATTTCTGTTTGGCTACAAGGTGTTGATGGGAGTTTTTACTGTAGCATACTTCCCATTTTTCTCTTAATTTTGAAAGGCTTTATAATAATTTTCTTTTGATTTCATTTATTATAAGTTTTTTGCTTCAGCTTTAAGATGTGTTTCCCCACGACGTCACTTTTCGCCCGATTCTATTACTTTTAGTTAGCGTGGCTCATCAGCCCGCCGGTGCTCCCCGGCTCAGGGTCACGGGGTTAATGAGCCTTGAAGCGACTTTGCCGGTGTCGGTTAAGAAGTTCGTATTTTTGTCTAAGTTTGAAACTATATAACTTCTTCCCTATCCCACACAGCAAACTATTACACTGATGTACTAAAAGATCAATGTCTTGAGATTAATTTTGTTTTGGAATGGTTAATTTCTGTGCCTTAGTTTTTGTTCTAGACAAGTGTTTGTAGAGTGCCCAATTTGTCCTATTTTATTTACATAATGAATAAATCATTGTTTATTTAAAAACGGCACAACAGATCTCTCCAAAATGTGTTAAACTGAACACGAATATCATGTCTTTTACCATGAGAAATCCTAAATCTGTGCAAGTAGAAATAATCAAGTAATGAGAGAATAAAGATGCACATCTGCATTTTTTGACAAAAGACGATCAGCGTTAGCTTTTGTTTTACCATTAAACAAGAGAAAGTTACTCTGCGTTTGTACATGAATCATGCTGTGTCTGTGGCAGACTGCATACAACTAAGAAAGATATATTATGTGATTTAAAAAAAACACAAATCTGTGTAAATACATGGGTAGAGATAAACTTCTTGTATTGAATAAAAATAATGACAGCTAACACATTCATTCTTAGTAATTGTGTCGGAAATATGCGCTGACACTTTTATAAATGTATAAAAATCAGAATATTGTCAGTTATTGTAAATGGTCATAGAAACCAAAATAAAAGCTGGAAAAGTCTGATGCTCATTCGAGTGTCACTAGAAAGCTAGAAACTATTCTTATAATCCAATTACGAGAAGTCATCCCTGTTATTGTCAATTTACAAAACCTGGACTTAGCATTGAAAAGTAAGGAATTTCTGGAGTGTTACAGGTACTGTTCGTGTATTACTTTGCAATTGTAGATGTATTCTGGCACTAAAGTGGATTTGTACTTCTTCATAAAGATATTGCAGGGTAATTTTTATAAACTTGCGAGAAAATATGCGAATATTTTCGATTATATTAGACGCATAGACTTGTATTTGGAGGAATTATTTCATTACGAATAGTGTGCCAGATGGATAAAGTTGCAAAATTACAGCTTTTTATAATATGGGCAGATACCATCTGTTCTGAGTATCTGCACCAATGTTATGTCGTTCATGTTCCGAAGGCTCGACAGTTTTTGTTATGCCGTTTCTTTTATATTGATTTTTTAAAATTCACATTTGTCCAAAAAATTTTACAATTTAGTATTGCCGACTTAAGCGCGTCTAGCGAAATAACCAGGCAAGTTACAATGTCCTGTCTTTTTTGAGTCTCAAGAGCAGAAATGCGTGCTTTGGGTGCTTTTGTGATAATTACCATAAATACAGGGATATACCTAAACTGTACGCTGAAGAGTACCAAAAATGAAGTCAGCCCAGACAGAGCGGTGACAGGGAGCTGACCCCTGTGACCCGGACGTGATAAAGCTCTCGGCGGGGAATCCCCTGCTGCGCCGTGTCCCATTCCTTCAGTTTTTGTTTGTAACTGTAACCCTCTATTTACTGTTATTGTAAATTTACAAGCAGTTAAACAAATTTTTCTCACATTTATACTTCTTATTGTGAATAAAAAATGTCTATATGATATCTACAGGTAAACAGAACCCACCACCCTTTTTCTTTTTTTTTTGTTTTCTCAAGAAACATAAAGTGACAATCTATCAGAATAGAATGGAAGTATTGATATGAAAAAGTAATTGTAGGCGACTCAGTCTGTACAACAATACAGCAGATATTTTGAAGGATTGACGAAGAGCTGGCCGCAGTGTGATGTGTATATTATATAATTGTCCTGTTGTCGACTCAAAATATTTGTGCTTATTTATGTTTCAGTATCCCAGGAAAAGGTTTCTTTAATAAAGTTTGTGTACTGAATTACTTTCCTTTCCAATCTATTTGGTTTTGCCGTGGTGACTTTACGGCATATGGGTTGTGGTTTTGGCTCAAAAAGACGAGAAAAGTCCTTCAGGTTGTCTTTTCTTTTTTGATCTAACCTTACAACGGACGTGCTGACATTTTGTGCAATTTTCAAGATCTGATGGCACTATGGCCGTGTGATGTCGTTGTTGAGAGGTTCTGTCCATTGACTTATTCAGGAGCTCCCAATTTTGCTAACTGTAAGTTATTGTGCCGGTTTTACAATTTTCCCAGGGGTATTCTTGACCTGTTGATTGAGTTAACTCAATAATGTACAGGGTGATTTAAAAATACTGTACTACTTGTTTTGTTAATATTTTCCTCCACACTGAAGTTTTGCATTTCAAATTTGTACACAACATTTGGAAGTCAAAAGGAATTTATTTGATATTCATTTGAGATAAATCCACAAAATAGTTTTTCTCTATGAAGCGCGTAAAAAAGCAGCCCATTTTCAGCTATGTCCCCATTTTTGTAGCATGGCGCACTAGTTTGCATTAGACCTACCACTAAAACTCCCAACGATTGCGCCATATTGCAAACTACTGTAGTCTAACAGGCCAACAGAAGTTTGCAGATAGTTTTTCTCTATTTTCCTTTGCCTGCTGAGATCATGGTCAAAATTACTAAAGAGAAGAGATTGAACATTTCCTCACCACCAACTCATTTCGTAAGTTGCACACAAGGTACAGAAATAATGTTAAAGTTTCCTTAAGGCCTTTTTTTGATGTCAAGGGTGGAATGGTCCATCACTTAGGACCTGTAGAGAATCAACTAAACATTCCCTGACAAAACGACCACTTCAGGTCAAACACACACCGTTCACATCCCTTTAAACGTCACCAGTGTGCAAAATTCAGTAGATGAGCCCCATAAGATGTCTGTCTGTAGACGATGTCTGCAGCAATGACTTTCCTACTTCTCAATTGTCCGCATTCACAAGGCAGATTTTCATCTACGACTGTACCATTTTCCTGTTTGCGAAGCTATCTTAAGACCCGGTTACACGTAACGATAAATTGTAAAAAAAACTGGACTATATAGCGATCATACGATAAATCGTTAGGTGTGACCACAAAATTGAATAAAATTTGGGCGATTTAACGATGGTTCGGAGACTCGGTCGAGAAGTCAAGTGCTGCTTGATATTTTCCGTGCGATAACGGTCAGACTTGAAGGAGACGCGCTGTGAGGTAGATTCACTTTGAAATTTGCCGCCGCTCAGAACTAAACTCAGGGCCCAATATTTTCAAAATAATTATCATAGGTAAAAACTGATTTCATATTCCGAATCAGTGTCTCAAAATAAGCAAAGTTGCTAGCGAAGAATCTGATTTGGGGCGTTATTACGTATATTTTAGCATTTTTATTATTTAGTTGATCGTCAATTGTGAAGCTGTGCATCAAGGTCGCTCGGTGCATTGCACATCTGCAGTCAAGTCAAAGCTTCCGGTTCTACACACAACACAGTAGACCTACAGTATGGCCACCCTTTTCTATAGACACTGTTCTGCTATATCAAAATGTACGGGGGGGGGGGGGGGGAGTTCTGTGATCTAGAGGTAGTGTTTGCCTTTCATTCATTAGGTCCAGAGCTCGAAACCTTCACATAGAGAGCAGGCAAATCCCTGTCGAGTCGCAAAGAGACATGGTGGCTTTATGACGAGGAATCTTCTCAATCGAAAGAAAACTGGACGATAGATTGGAACGTGTAAACAGACAACACAGTTCGACAAAACGGACAGTTCTCTCATACGACGAATCTGATACAATTTATTGTTGCGTGTAACTGGGGCTTTAGGATAGCAATGTGTACATGATTCCTCGATCATCTTGAAAAGCGTGAATATTTCCTCTATGACATTTGGTTCCTTGGCAAAGCCCATATATTCATCTTTCAGGTTATGTCAACTCCACAAATGATGTCTATTTGGGCAACCTCACCCTCACCCCCATTGTCTCTAGAAACAGCAGCATACTGAAAGTTGTACGGTGTGTGTGGCTTTGAGTACTCATGGTTGAGTGGATCCTTGTGTTCGGCTACCACTGAACATTACAAACGACGTTTTAAAATATGTGGAGTCCAAAGGAGGACATAAAGGCCATTGGTTCACGGAATTCCAAAATTAGATTTGAAAAATAAAAGGACAGAAAAAACAAACCGATCGTTTTGTGGCTTTCCTTACGAGATCTTTTAAATTGATGCTTTTTGCATTTATGGGTGGTTCTTATAAAATCCATTTCCGTTTTCGAAAATAAGTTTCTCCTTTGTGAATTTTATGTCAAACATATTCCTTTTGGATTATATAATATGTTCCAAATTCCGACATTCTAGTACAAATTTTGTGCGAGATATATTTAAAAAAGAGTTGTACAGTTTTTTTTTTATCATCTTGTATTTGTCTAGCTCTGAGGATGAATGTACTGCAATCATTTCATTGCTTTCAATGTGCTGATATATAATGTAATCTGAATTAGATCAGCGTAAATTAAAAGGTTCACTTTTTAGTTTCAGTCTTGATTGGTTTACTCCGTACGCTGGCTAAATGTACACCACACATGTCCTTTAATGCTATTGCAGTGAGTATGTGTTTTGTTCCAAGGATGGAGGAAAAGAAAACGGTAGCACTGAGAACTCTCACGTCCATTGCAACGTAGTGGAGCTGTTTTTTCCGTCCTTTCCATTGTCCTTGCTCAAATTACTCTAATGTTTGCTGAACGACTGTCCTGCACGGGGTAGAGACAAGCAGATTGTTATAGATTTTCAAGTCATTCCACTGAATTTGTGTCTGTTAAGGGTTGTGAACATGAAAGGAATGGCAAATTGGAACGTGAGCAAAATTTTGATGTCCCATGCTCTCAGTGATGAGCTCTGTGGCTGTAAAATAAATCTTAACTTTGTACATTCAACTCTGCTTGTGTTGAACTCGCTTGATGATCTTCGGTTGAGTTAATCTTTTTCTCTGGTCCCAGCACCTCTTCTTCTTTACACGTCCCAACGGTTAAAAGTTGAACTTCGGATGAGTTTACCTTTTTTTCACTCCCCCGTCGACATCAACTCAACTGTAGTGGACTATAAATTTATAATATTGAGTTCCAAAAGGTAAGACAGTTTCAGGCTTTTTTTATAAGTTAAAGACAGGGCAGGATTTCTTGTAAGTAAAATGTACACTTTATTTTTCTTGTCCTTTTCACCCCTTCTGTTTCCTTCCCTCTGACTCCTTCTAGTGCTGACCCTCTTTCACTGTCACAGATATGTGTCAGTCAAACTTGCAGTTTTGTCTTACTGTTGAAATGACAATAATGTCTACAAGTTATAAGTGCATAGTTAATGTGACTTGATGTAATGCTTCGGCAATCAATTGTCCTTACTCTCATGCACATGAATGCTCTCTGAGAGAAACGCTTTTACCAGTGCTTGATTATAAAACAGACAATGCTGTACATGTGATTAGATAACTTTGAGAACATTATTGTTATTTTGCCTTTTTCAGTGGCATTAAATATTTAACGTTGCATGTATGTATCAAACTAGCTACACATAGATATTCTGGAGATATTTCAATATTATAATAATAATAATATTATAAAACCAGCTTGTCAATTACCAAATCAACTTTATTTTGTCTTGGTTGCTTTGTTAAAAAAACCCTTGGGCATTATAATTGAAAAATTTTGCTTGGTATGTTTGATTGAGGATTCATTATTGTGATATTTTTCAAAATTTACCGACGTCATGTGCTTTGCTTGTGCTCTTTTCTTTTCTTTTAAGGCATATTCATTGTTTAGTCGCGGTAATGGCACTGAATTTTGAACACTTTGTATGTGGTTAAATCATTTGTATAAGTAAAGAATATTACTCGTATATATATTATATGTGTAAGTTATAAGTATGTATCTGACTGTGTGTATAGTCTTGTCATTATAACCTATGGGGGATAGGCCTACATACTACTGTAATGGTATTAAAATTCTTTTGGTTGAAAGATGAGAAACTTTGTGCAATACATAATTTGTCATCAATCTCTTTTGTTTGATCTTGTTCACCGGTGTTTATTCTGTAAAAGTTAGGCTACCGGTATGTGCTTTGTATGCAAAAGACTTGAGTTCGACTTCCATGTGGAGAAGATACAGTGGAACTTGGATTCAACGAGGTCGCCGGGCCTGACCTAAAATCTCGTTGAAAACAAGTGTTCGTTATAGCAAACATGAGGTTTTGTGTAGATAATTACAGGCACTGAGCAAGTAATGTATAAAGAGAAGTAACTAGTGGTGCCTGAAATGCCTGCATATTATGAGCTGTGCAAAAAAAAAAAAAAAGACCGATTCGTTCAAATGCACGCCTGTGTCATCTCGATTGTTTGCCAAAAAGTTGTGTTGCTGTGTAGAGCCTAACAACATACGGCAACTTTTGATTCCATGGATCGGAGCACAATTCATTACAGTGGAATCCTGTTAGAACGAGAGGAAGGGGACCGGTACAAAATGTCCGTTATAGCAGAATTCTTGTTGTAAGGGATCCAGTCATATATTTAAAGGAAATAATAAAGTAGGCTTAATCTATGAGTATGAGTTTGGTGTTCTGTTTATTTCTTTTTGTTATCTCCTCTGATGATGGCTTTGTTCAACGTCTCCTCTAGGTCTTACTTGAACAAAAGTTGAATCAGGTTTCTTTTTTTAGCGTTAGCGATGTTGACAGCTCAGCGTTGGCTATCAGAACGAAAGTTCTCTAGGCTAATTCGCCCGCTGTGTTTCCCCCCGGCCCACCACACCCTGTGGTGCATACCCGCGTTCGCTTGCGCACGTCACACTTTCACGATCCATCCCAGCACTGTGACCTCTCCATCCCCGCATCGAAGAAGTGAGAGGCATGATAGGCCTAGATAATCTAGACTAGGCTGGCCTATCACCATCAGGCAATGTGTTCTGCTTCACAACGGCTTGTCTGCGCATGCTGCACCCTCCCAACTCATTCGCTCTGGCCTTCATCGTTGGCACACATGGGCTCTCCCATTCTTTGTTTCGCTTGTGATCACCAAGTTTCTCAACTGGCGAGAATTTCATGTATAAAAGGCCTATGCGCTGTGCACAGCAGCAGCAATATTCCGCTATAACCGACTCGTGCGTTTATCTGATTGCGATAATAACAGTATTTAATTTACAAAGATGAAAAAGGGACAAAAACCTGGGTTTTAGAATGTCTTTATAACAGACTTCTCGTTATTTCAGGACTCGTTATAAGTGGACTCCACTGTACGTAGATATACGTCAAGACTAGCTTATCATTGTAATAATGATCAGTTGCTGGGGTGGGGGGGGGACTGTAACTTGTTGGTATCTGTGACGTTCCACGCCCGGACTGCTGCCCCCCGACTCACGCTAGAGGAGACACGTGCGCGTGTCAACAACGCATGTGTTGGTATGAAAGAAGGCTGCTGATTGGTCACATGCTATCGGCTAAGTGAATGGTTACCATGCAGGTGCAATGGATGGTTTCCGGGAATAGATAAAGTTCTTTGTGGGAGAAAAATGAGTGAAGCCACGTCTGTGGATGCTGTTCACCCTGGAAGCGACCTCATAGAATCCGAGCTTGCTGATTTAAGTGCTCGTTGAATCTGGGTTATTTTTTATTGATTTTAAAGAAGAACCCCCCCCCCCCCCCCCAGGGAATCCATCTCCTTTCGTTGAATCCGAGTTCCACTGTATTCTAATTCTATAGAGTTTCTTTGTCATTCTCTGTAAGGATGCAGTATCTCTCAAAGGCCATGCTAGCTCCAACAAGCATGTCTGTATTCTACTTGACCTTAATTCCTTTTTTATTGATGCATGCGTTTACAATTGTTGCATTGTTTTTCATTCTGTAACCATTTCTTGGCAATCTTTCTTATATAGGCCTACATATATTTATTTATGGGTTGACAAAGTATTTTTGCTTGCTCTTGGCTTGGCATGTCTGACTGCAGACACAGCTTGTGGAAATAATTTTTGCCTTTGTGTTAGGATTATAACAAAATGAATTTTCGTTTGCTGTTGTTCAGCTCTCTTTTCTCTCGGATAAAAATATGGCTTGTCACTGCTGTTTATCATGAATAAACATGACTGACAATGAGAACAGGGAAAGTGGGAAAAAAGTGAAAATCTGTTTTTGAACAAGAACCATCTGATGTTGGTGCTCAAATGGTGGGGCCAACAGCTCTGCTTTTGGTACAACAACTTTATTTATATCCTGTACAGTGTTGTAGTCGCACAAATGAACACTGTCATCGGTCTTCAATATGTACCATTTAACTTCTGAGTCGGCACTGAATGTCAGGTGGCGTCTGTAACCTTGTGGTTAGGCTACCAGGCCCGTAATCGTGAGTTTGTTGGTTCAGGGGTTCGAGCCTCCGCTCGGTCCGACATTGTGTCCATTGGAAAGACACTTTACTGTTGGCTTGGTCCTTTCGGAGATAAACGTTAAACTCGTAGGTCCCGCCTACAGTGTTGATAGGGGCGTTAAAACTACCGATACTATTTCACCATTTTCACTGAATGTCAGCTTGAAGTGTTACTCCTGTAATAAGCGTAAGTTAACTTCTAATGTTCACCACTATTGTTAAATATGTGAACTTGTACTTTATATTTTTGAGTCACCGAAGGGTTTTTTCTGTGGTGCGCTGAGACCGCAAGGTCTGCTTTTTTTTTTCTTTTTCACTTTACCTCTTTTATAAAATTACTACAATTATTACTATTGGTGAACTATCTTGGTGCTTGTACAGAAATTCGTTAAAATTTGCTGAAAGAGAATTTTGAGGCTTGATCCCGCATTCCTGTATCATGATTTAATGTGATTAGTTTATCTTTCTGTTGAGAAAGTAAAGTTTGTTGACTTGCCCTCGGAAAATTGTGGCTCTCTCTTTCTGTCGTTTATGGTGTTACCAGAGTATTTGATGTTACATTTCATATGAGTGTAAATAAAAAAGTATTAAAAAATTGATACGGTCGTTGGGTAAATCATTTTTCCTTTTATCTGTTCTGTATATTTTTTTCTTTTCATTTATTACATGTGCAGGGCCTATTTCTGTTTCTCTAATTCTCTCCGTCTTGACAGCTCAGGACCCCCTCTTAATTCAATCTGAGAATGACCTTCTTTCCTTTGTTTCATACTCTATTTTACTCTTATCATATCCCTCTCATTACTATCAGTTACCCTGTTTCCTTCCCTAATTTTTTCTCCCTCTTTCATTCATCCTTCACGGCTAATCCCAATATCAAAAGTGTGATCACCCTTTGACCTACATTTTTAAAAACACACATCGAAAACAAGATAATTGTAACACATGAAAGAAGCAAACCTCACCGAAATGCCCATCAACCACCCACACTTGGCTAGACACAATTCATTTCATCTGTCACTCCCTGAAATCAACTAAGAAACGGAGACTAAAGCAGACCAGACTTTTGCATTCAGCAGGAGATTTTATTTGTGTTCCCATCCTGACATAAATACTGACAGTTGAAGAAATCATATCAAGATAAGAACAATAAGAATGATACTCTCACATTCCATCTTACAATTTAATGAACGTCCCCAAAACACTCAGAAATGGACACACACACACACTCACACAAACAGCATAATAAGAATGAGTAGGCTGTCATCACATTGCAAGTAACAAAAGATTCCTTAATAAAAACAATGTGGTAATTCATGATGAAATGATAATTGATAACAATTTTTCTGAAGTAAAAACAGGAGATGTTTTAAAAAAAATATTTCCCCTCAATCTATTTCTTGGCAAAATTTTTATCTAGGTCAACTCTTGTGCGTTGGATGTTGTAACGGTTCCTTTTCAGCCTGTCCTCGACTGAACTAGACGATGCATGCTCCACCATGAGGCCGCTGAGAGAAGACAAAAAAAATCATTCACTCTTAACTTGACTTGTGTTACTGTTATCATCTCTACATTTACAGTGTAAATCAGTCTGATTTCTGATGTGAAATAATTTCTGTTCCATGACAAAGATAATTCATATCACGATCAAAACCAGTCAATTCAATGCAATATTGTGTCTGTGAAAAGTAAGTGGCTGACCTAGAATGGGGAGGTAAAAGTGTTTGCAACATGAAAAATGTTATACAGCAGAGTGAACTGAGAGAAAAAAATTAGTTTATTTCTTATAGAGGTTTTACGGCGCTCGCAACTGCATAAGGTCATATGAGCGCCATAAGATTAGAGGTTACAAGAGAGTAACAAACATAAAAAAGAAGAAGGGGAGATAATGACCATAGATGTTTGATAGGAAAGAAAAAGCAAACCACACCAGAGCATCCGCCAACCACCCACGAGAAAAAAATGTCCAGTCTAGTACACACACATAGAAAAACGAAATATGTGTCAGTAAAGAAAAAAAAAGAATCTCGGACAGAAGCTGCTAAATTTTGAAAGAAGTTGAGAAAGAGCATACGGAATGGTAAGGAACAAAAAAGACAATTAAGAACACAAAGCATCCAATTCAAAGTTTTTCTGTGAAAACCCCCCAGAGCCAAGTGTGTGATGCGGAGAGCCATGAAAACTCCCAAGTTGAACTGTGTCTCCTGCTGGAACCAGAGTTGTCCACAACAGCAACGCACCAAGACTCGTCACTCTATCTAGACATGTGTCAAACATGGCTTTATTGTTACAGCAAGAAGGAAGCAACGTGAGCAAGACAGATTCCCTCAACAAACACAGCATCGTAGATACCTCTCTCTCTCTCTCACACACACACACACACACATCCACACACAAAACTTATTTACAGTCCAATCTTTACATCCAAAAGACATGTGATAAAAAAAGATCTGCGGCCATGCAAAAAAGTCGATTATAGAAAAATGTGGCATATATGGATTTCTTGAACTACACAATTGATGATATATAATGCCTTGTCAGAAGAGGAAACATCATACAAAAATATCTCATTCATTCAACTTGCTTGTGCCTGCAATCCTGCTAGCTTCCCACAGAAGACAGTATTTCATTTCTAACTCTTTCCTTTGATATTGAGAATGTCACTCTGGTAGACATGTGAGGCTTGAAAAGGGAAGACAAAAATAATCTCACCTGAGAAAAGCACCTCCTTTCTTTCCCTTCTCTCGCTTCTCCCTCTCCTTATCTTCCTCTTGGTATCTTTCCACATTTCCAGCTCGCTGTTCATCTCTCCACTTGGCATCTTCCATCATCTCTTCCAGTTTCTTCTTCTTCTCCTCTTCAGTTAGTCTCCTGTAAACATGTACATCAATTGGCAACTCAGTTACATGGCTTCAAAGAATTGAATTCCCCATCAATTTTTCCTAAATCAAGACAATCCGCACGACTTATACAGGTTGTTTTACACACATACATGTTATTATCATTAATATTTTTTAAAGCTTATTTTTTACAATTCTTCTAGTTTCATATCCTCTACATTTTCATAGCAGAAGACTGGGTCAAGGACTCAGTAGGTCGAACTGTTTTTTTGACCAGTGCAAAACTTCAGCAGGCCATTTCACCTATTGCAGACAATATTATTATTATGTTCACATGACGAGTCATTCAATGCTGGGGAAAAAAGCAATATAAATGTAAACAAAGAAGACATTGGAAAAGTATGATAACATGTTCATTTTCAATGATTCAACTTAAAGAAACAATGATCCTTACAGCTCAGGTTTCGACATTGTGACCCCACAGCTTCTCTGCTCTCTTTTTCTTAAAAAAATCCCCCCCCCCCCCAAAAAAAAACAACAACAAACAAACAACAGAGTAAAAGAAAATAAACAAAGGTTCAATTATTCTTATCAATATATTAGAATATCAGTTCCTTTGCTGGACTTTTCAACATCGCTACTAGTCCATCCACTGGATTCAGAAAGTATCAAGATTTGCCTTGAAATGAATCTAAAGGCAGGGAAGCTACATCAACTTCCTCCTTTAACACAAGGGGCAAGACTCCAACCAGTCTCACAATATCAACATGCTCACTTGCGGGGTGGGGTCGCTTCTCTCTGTACCACTTTGCGTCTTCCTACATAAGCTGGTCTTGACTTGCGATTGTTTGATGAGGATGAGGAGGATGATGATGATCGTCTTCGTTTCTGAGAGCCGGAATTATTTGAGTTTGTCATCTATGGATTAGTAGAGAACAAGAGTGAAGTTATTTTAGTTTTGGTATTTTCATAAAAACTAGACGCAGTAGCAGAAGTACAGAAAACATATAGATCAAGCGTGGACTTAAAAGAAAAAAGAAAGCTATGCACTTTTTAAGTCACATCTTTGACTCATCCTTATCATTGATTTTTAGGCAACAAAAAGCAATACAAAGGATCAATAATATAAAGCTAACAGCTTGATCTGTAACAACTGACTTAATGAATGAGACTTGCAAATTCTATCAAAATTGCCAAGAACTGGAGAAGAATATATATTTCATGAATCAGTCAGTACCAATAAAAATAAAGAATGGCTCACTACATGTAGAAAAATCAGATCATATAATCAATATATGAAAATGGCCATTTTACACTTTGCGATCACTTGGTGCAATAATGCGCCTGTGAAAATTATCTGTTCCGGTCACCTGGGGCAGTTCTGCTCCAGACCCAAGAAGTCTATTGCAGTCAGTCTCCTGGCAGGGTGACCAGATAATGTATTTTGTACTGCTGGCTGTGTGACTGCAAAGTCTTAGGACCTTAGTGGCATCAGTAGTCTAGTGGTTAGGCTACCGGACTCATTATCATGAGGTTGCAGGTTCAGGGGTTCGAGCCACCAGCCCGACGTTGTGTCCTTGGGAAAGGCACTTTACACGAATTTTCCCCACTTCACTCAGGTGAAAATGGGTACCCAGCTATAGACAGTGAAAGAACTTGTCAGTTTGTTAGCGTTTGAGCGCTTAACCAGCTGCTTGCACTGTATGCTTCCCGGGAAGCTGAGAATGTTTCTGAGCGTTCTATGGTC